CACAATTTACCGTATTACTTTGCGTCTGGACATTCTCTTTCACAGCTTTTTTACTTTTTGATAATTTATTATCTTATATTGCTTTTATAGTAGAATATATTCTATATATATATGATGATAATACTGACCTGGTAAACGTTTTATGACATCTATAGTACTTCGACAAAACTTGAACAAAAACGGTTCTTGCGAGTTAATCTTAAAAGATGGACATACCCTGTCGCAAATTTTTAAAAACTAATTGAAGAGGAATAATTCTTTTATATTTTTTCGTCATCTTAAACCATTTTTTTTATTTGAGCCAGTACTTCCCGAGATTAGCGTGGTCAAACAAAAAACAAACTTTTTAGCTTTATAATGTTAGTGTAGATTTAATACAAAATCTATGCTCATCATCTATAAAGAGTTGAGGAATTTGAATGTCCGTCAGTGCATTGTTAAATTGAATTCAATCAGTTGACCCTCTTAATAAATTGAATCTTTTGTCTCAATTCAAATTACGTAAGAAAGATGCGGTGAATTTTTATTGATTAACAGTAATGCTCTTACGTGATGGAATTGCGTAATTCACGAGTGCAATCACGTGGTCAGTTCCTGTTCGTTTTTGGATCGCTATGCGCTGTGCTCTATTCGTATAGACGCATAAATTAAAATCTAAATGGTATGGCTAATAATTATTAAGTTTATTGACCTTATGGATTTTTAATATACCTAGTGTAAAGTAAGTTCTAAATTCAAATTAAGTAGGTCTCGCTTTGTTTGTTATTTTTAATCCCTTTCCACCAAAAAAGTCATCTTTGACTACACAAAAATTATTTTTGTCTATCTAGTTTGTAAACGTATTATTTTATTTTCCTATTCAAATAACACAGAGAACCTAAAGCGTTGTCTAAATCTATGCACATTTCTTTTGAAGGTTGAATTTCTATGTCAAACATTTTATGTCAATTATCTTACAGTAAACAACTAAAGACGTCATTCACAGCTGGTACAAAGTCATTGGATGTTCTGACAAAACATTTTTCATTTATGCCTCTATCAAGTTTTAGGTAAATAATGATTATTTTTGAATTTAAAGCCTTACTTAATTTGACAAGGTAATGTTACAGTTATGTCTTAATCGAACGGTTACTTTATTAAGTAAATTATCTCGTATTTTCCCTTGATATTGATCACTTAAAATATATCGAGGTCACCTTTATTTAGATACAGTTTGTCAACCTGTGTCACATCATACATTGCAAATATGTCTACAGTGCATTAGATACCGTAGTGCCCTACTTACAAGACTCATTTTACTTCGTTTAAGATCAAGTGCTGTGGATTGCACTTCTGCGGTGGTTCTACGTCTATCACAATCTATTTGTAACCTAGCGTAACAGCTTTATGCCAATTCCCACCTAGCTCTCTAGCAATAAGCACTTTAAAACTGTAAAATGGCAACATTTTCGCCCACAATTGGTGTGTCAAATTAAAATGAACCTTGCGTGACGGTATTAGTGCGCTTATTGAGGCCAATTCGTCGAGTGCAATTTTAACCTTGCCGCCTTGTCGACTCCCGCGCATGATCGAGTTGACAGTGTCATTATGGAACGGAATTATCTCCCGTCTTACCCAGGTATATCTGTCGTGTATATAAAATGTAATTTCCTCTATATAAAATCAGTGTTTTTGTGGTATGACTTCAGTAGTAAAGATCAATAGGTTTTCACTCGATGAATATTTAGTATTACGCCACACCTTTTCGCCATAAGTATCACGTTTTACTACATAATTTGTTTGCTTTCACCACCTAGGCGTGCGTGGAGGATGTGTCGTAATCAAATGACCATTTTATTCATTCATGGAAGAAAGCGGTATTTAAATGAAATAGCTAAAAACTACTGCACTATTAGAAACAGTAGTAGTATTTTAAAGGCTTTTAATAGTGACCTTTCTAATTTTTAATTTTCTCAAATGTAATGCTTCCTAAACCTGAAAATTGTTTGTTCGTTACGTAAGCTAATTAGAATTTTAGGTGATCTGATGCGTGCTCGATTGTGTCATAGTTATTAATTAGTGCTGGTTGTAACGGCTTTGAATTGCGTATAATAATTGCTTTAACATGGGCCAGACTTCTTGACATATTTCTAAAGGTTTTCGAAACAGTAAGTAACCTCGAAACATGAATTGGTTTCCTGCGGAACGAAAATTAGTTCGATATTGAAGCCGGCTCTTGAAACAATTTCGCGACTTCATGACTAACCTCCGGTCAGAACAACAAGACATAAGCTGAGACGGAAAACGTAGTTTTATATATAGAAAATAATAAACACAATTATGTAAGAATATCGTAAGTTTTAGGAGGTGTTATGTTGCTGTATCAAAACTATATTGTATCTGACTTAAGTTACTTAAAAAACACGGTAAATCAAAACTGTGAATCAATGTTTTTGGTCGCGAGTGTACCGTACAATTATTTTTAACGAACCCGTATGTATATCTTAAAACAAGCTTTTTTTCGTTTAATCAATTCCTACCGCATTTATTATAATTCACGAATGAGATTGAAAGCTTTCTCTTTATTGAAAGGCGACTTATTCTCATTTATATTTTAAGAATCACTTAACTGCAAAAAATAGTAATATGTATATTAATTAGATATTAAAATCAGTTTAAAGTTTGTACAAACTAGTTACATATTTACTTCAACAGTAGCTGAATGCTTGAACTACTTAGAAACAATTTAGGAATTCAGTTAAAGTCTAACATTTATACGGTTGTACCGCACCAAATTTCCCTTAAATTCCTAAAACAGTTCTCGTGCTCAAATATGCAAAGGAAAGTAAATCCTCAGGATTATTCTGCAACAGACAAGTTCACGGAGGCACTGACATTAAGAGCGCTATTTTAAACATCCAAGCTCTGCACTTACAAATGTTTACGACATCCGTAACGAACGAATCAGTTATGTTCCTAATAATAATCATTTCTTTTTTTCTGATGAAATCGAAGTAGGGAAAAGTTTCCCAAGTGATTAAAATTAAAAGACTAAAAAAAACACTAGACCTCAAAAAAACTAAGAGACGAGAGAACACCGTAAGTCAGTTCTGTAAGAACCCAGCCAGATTTTCCAAATACCAACTGCGATAAAACTCTAGCGCTAGCGTAGCAGATTAGTCAGTCATGACATTAGTGACATCCTCTATCACCAGTCTGTTTTTTAAGTAACCGTTTGTAATTCAAATGAATATAATGCTTTATAGTATGTGTGCGATCAAATTACAGATGATGAGATAGAGTTAATGTATTGCTTTTCGTCGGAATACTCATAGGACAATCTATTTAGTTCTAATTTATTTTATTATCCTGCTCATCATTATCTCAGACAGGAGTTCCGCTTCTGACATTCTAGTTACAGTCGCGCGTAGGTCAGTTGCATTTCACGATTCGTGTCAGTGGGTTAATATCAAAACAAATGAATTGGTTTCCTGCCAGCGCTATTTCGCGTTCGACATTATGAAATTGGCCTAGACTTTCCTATATAGACTTGATTATGAGCTTACCGGTCTAGGTTCTCAACCAAAATAACACACGACTTCAACTAACGATAATTATTGAGTATTTCACGTTTTTGCTTATCATTCGACGTGAATAATTCTGTCAAGGTCGGAATATTGTTAACATTATGCGTAGTTAATGTACAGTTCAGTTACACAAGTTAATAATAAAAAAATTGATATTTGTATATATCTGACGAGATTGGCTGTTGGACTCGGAACATAGATACAAGTAAAATATTCTTTAATCCTATTCCTCAATTCTATCTATAGTTCTTCCTAGCTATTAAATTGTATGGACTTGAATATATATATATATATATACTTTTACAAGATACTAGCTATAGACAGTTCAGCTGCGTAGGTTATGTTAATGCGTTTGCGCAGTCTATTTCTGTTCCGCCTTTGAATGTTCGCCTTGAATGTACCCAATACATAATGTTTATACCTCATTTATAGAACAGTTAGTAACACCTACCTTTTATGCTATGAAGCTACCGACCCGTATTCATCCGCCATCTTTATAATATAAGTATATATGTTGTCTGGAAGGAAAAGGAGAATGTCTGACATTTTTATTGATTACTACAAAATACTTAATAGAATAGGTCCATTTTACAGACAAGCTTCTGTTGCCATCCTTATACAAATAAATTATCGTATATAATAATATGCTTTCTGTTTGCATTTGGTTCTAGGTTTCAATCCTCATAATTTAGATTCATAAAAAAAAGACACATATTAATTATTTCAAACTATATTTATCAGTTGTTGGATAAATATATTTTGTTGGATGTTTTTACAATTACCATTCGCAATTAATAAAAACGTAAGCGATGTGCTGGGTTACATTTTCTTTTCAATTGTTTATCGAACAGTTAAAAATTTACATACTTATCGTGTTAATTGTGTCACGTTCCCTTTACAAATATAATAAGCTCGATACATTAACTTATTATTGAAAATCTAGTTTAACGATGTTTTTATCTATACATACTTACTATATCTAGGCCATTTACTAATTTGCGTTCAATACATCTTCTAATATTACACGGAGTAGGTAAAATGTAGCTATGTCGTTAAATAATAAATAGTAATGAAAGGTCGTATTTAATTGAGTTACTTATCTCTTTCTAGCATTAAGTGTTATTTAATTAAGATAATTACACAAATAGAGTTGATATTTGTATTTAAAACGTACTATCTAACTTGCACAACCGCTGACCTTGTTCAATCTAAATTCACAAGTGAATAGTCACATGCCATATCAGTATATTATCCGAACATAAAAAAATAAGAATTTGAAAGTTGAATAATATAAATTTTATGGCCTAGTAAGACTTACATTTAGGCTAGACCCATTTTTGGGTCATAATATTTTTATTTTCCATCACAACTTCCACAGATAAATAATCGTTAAACAATAGTCAATAAATAAACTGTAATTCATCTTGTCCACAGCTGTGTCAGCGAGATGGTCGGCGCTCCGTGCGGCGGCTATACGTCGCGGTGGCGCGCGACGTCTTCGCCGCGAAATAGCGGCTCTACGGGAAACTCTTGATGACGTCTGCGAGCCTGGTGACCATGCGCCTCAGCCGCACACCAGAGCCCAGCTGCACAGACGCATCGAAGAACTGAAGGTTAGAGAAATAATTAATATATAAAACTTTTATCTCGTATACCTAATTGTATAGACGCACTATAACAAACAAAGCAGTCGCTTTTGCTTTTGCAGTCTAAATACAAATTAAACTTGGTCCCAAGCTATCTTAATTCTTAACTCGAAGCATAACCCTAAAATGAGTATTATTCATCTTCACAGGAGCGTCTTTCTCGTCTGCTAGAATGCAAAGTTTCTATGCTCAAACTGACGGTCTCCGTCCGCCGCACCCTGGGAGAATTGGAGACGGACGAGAGTGGTCTGACCACGGACCTGACAGCTCTTTTAGCCGCTTGGGACGACGCACACCAACGGTTAGTGCAATTGATTGTCATCGAGCGTGCGAATTAGAAAATTAGAGAACTATAACCTCTTGAGAAAATTTGTAACAAAATCCAACACGCAATGCGTGTGCGACGATTGAAGACAATAGTCATGGCCTTATTTGGCAATTAATCACAGATGTACAAGGGCATTGCGCATTTTCTAAATACAAAAATCTCTGTCCATGGTTAGACGCTTTACATTGCAATATGGTGAAGAGCAAGTACTTTCTTAGCTTATCTAATATTCCGACATTACATCAACGAGTCCGTCTCGTTGATGTAATGTAGGAATGTATGGATAATAATTACCAGGTCGTGGGTTTGATCCCCACAGGGTCCTGGTCCTACATATTTCAAATAAATTTATATTTTTATGTAACATGCTGGACTTCGTCTGTACCTCTTAATATTCAATAGTTAGTAGAAATATGGAAATTCCGTCCGGGTCACAAAAAAACGGTGAAGTTTAATCGCGTTTCGGTTTCACTCTATGGATTCTCAAATGTCCAAAAACAAAATAGGCCGACAACGCATCTTGTTTACATTTTCTTATGGCTAAAATATCACCTACGATCAAGTTAACCCCGTGCTTTTCTGTCCTCATCTATCTTAAATTTATCGTAATGTAAATTTTTTCAGTCAATAAAACTTTATGGTCTTTTTACCGATAGCATTAATAAATAAACCGATTCGACTTGACTTGGGACGTCCGGTGAAAACTACTTAACTTTCATTCCAGCACATCAAATGAACTCCTGTCCCTCGAGAGGGCGGTGAGCGCGTGGGCAGAATGGGAGAACGCATTACGCGAGCTGCAGGGAGCACTGCGAGGCGATTTGGCCACACTGCAAGCGTTACGCGATAAAGGATCCAAATTAGACGATCAAAGCGAAGTCGCGGCTCAAATTAAACAGCTGGCTGCTTCGTTGATTGATAAGAAAAAGGTAAATTTAGATATTTATTATTATTCATTTAAATAAAACATTTGAACGGTTTCAAACGCGATGTATATTACTTAAACTTATTTGAAAATTGTTTTAACTACGGCTCGACGTTTCGAAAGCTTTGCAACAGCCGTGGTGGTGTTGGTCTCCCACATATGGACATAATTCTGAAATGGATATGACTCGTTCACATATACTATATTATATATATTTTGTTACCGTCGATTATATTTTTATGTTTGCTAGCAAATATTAAAGTTCTCGGCGTCTTTATTTCTAAGATATTTTTTCAAAGAGTTTTGCAACAAACATTGCAAACCATATTGCTACATAGTGAAATATTTATTTACCCTCGTTAGACCAGAGATCGTCACGATAGCATTATTGAGGGCAGAAGTCTCTAAAGGCTTAAAACTAAACTGTCATTAAAACAAAAAATAGATATATTATGCATTTGGACGATTATTACCATATGGTTCTATAGTTATCAGAACCATACGAGGTTCTCTTTACCATCCACCATTATATCCCTTTATTTTATTATATCGAAGTATAACAATAATTATTTTGGTCCTTAGGGAGGTTCCACGTGTGATTCGCTCTCGGATTCCGGAATATCGGACGGTGACAGTGAGAACGCTGGCGGTCGCGCGCGCAGGCTAAGCGCACTACGAGAACTGGCCAAGCGTTTACAAGAAGCTCTTGCTCCAAATTCGCCTGCACATAGAGCTATTACTAAGGTATTGATTATTATTTAATAACATGACGGAAAAGCAAATATATAAGAGAAGAGTTTTAAAGAATTCAATGAAATCTTTATTATTGTGTAGTAAAAAGTTGTAGTTTTTATATATTATATGTTATTCTATTTTTACAGCGTATGGAGCAAACAGAAAACGAAGTTAAAATTTTGCAGGAATCCTGTCGCGCTTTAGTAGAGCAAAGCATTCCTGACCTCAAAATTGAGGAGGACGGGTAAGCATTGTTACTTTTTTATATGGAGGTCCCTTGCCGAAGGTGCAGGACCAAGTTTTTCACAAAATGCATATTTGTAGCTAGTGCTAAACTAACTGTCTTTTTAATTTCAGGGAACAAGTCGTAGTAGTCGCAAGTAAGACGGGATCCGGCGACCCCGACTATATCCCACGCAGCGGTTGGGTCTGGCGCGTTCTTCGCTCCTCAATCCCCATACAACTTTGCCTCGTGGCGTTGCTTCTAGCTGCTTGGCTAGTCGAACGGCCGAGGTGCTGTGATGCACTGAACTCCTTGGCTCAAACTCTAACGCCGCAGTTACGTTACGTTCGCGGACCGCCTCCAGTCTGAACGCACCTTTACCATCTGAGGTTCCGGTGACGCCAAAAGTTTACGATGGTTTGGGATTTCCTCGAATGTCGATCTGTACGGAGGACAAAACGGATACGTCTGTACCGTTGGTAAGCTGCTCTACGCAGCTAATTTAGGCATAACATGAGGTATAGGGCAGTAAGTTTTGATAGTGAAATTTTACTAACAAAAACGTAGTGTTCATATGACAGATTGTCCTACAATAATTTTCAAACCGATCGGTTTAAGGTTGTGATATGAAACATCCAACTAGTGTTGTGTTAGTTTTATGATGAGTGAATGATATGGTAAGGAATATACCATTTGACGAATGAGGAGTGTAATCGACTAATCTTTTATTTATCTTGACGTGTGAACGCGACCTTATTTTTTTACCGCGGTTAGCGTTGCTCATAGCAAAAAAAAATGTCAAATAAACGAAATTGTTCAAAAAAATATCATCTGTATCAGATGAAGTTCAAACTAGGTACTTTAGTAATTATTTACTAACACGACAAATAGTAGTGTAAGCATACTTTAGTACAACTATTTAAGTTATTATGTAGATGAGGTGCGCCTTGAATGAAAAACTATATCTGACATGGCTATTCCTAAAATTCTTAAAACTACAATTTTTAAAAAGTGGTCGACGCCTTATGAAACTATCTAAGACTGAATATTAAAACATAGTTATTGATAATAACAATGAATCTATACAAAGTGGCCACTAACCGTACATTATATTATAACTATTTTCCTATTTTATTATTTGACTATTGTTACAACAAATATATATATAATCTATATTTTTATTGTATTTTCTGTCTGTGAATGACATATGATTACTGTGAATCAGTAAAGATGTAACTCCATATCTTGTATTCAAGTCAAAAACAATTATAATTGTATGTTTTAGCATTTTAGTGTATAAAAATATATATCATACAATGATGTTCATTAAACGTACGAAATTATGTACATATCAATGATAAGATGTCTAGTACCATTATAAGACATATATATTATAAAACTACCGCAGCAAAATTTTCATTATCATAGTGGAGCATTTCACTAATATTGAATGGTATAGTTTCTTTGTATTCGATTTAAATAATAAATAATGATATTTATCATCTATGATTAACAGATTCCAAAACTGAGTCAAAATATGTCCATAAGAAGTCCAGTCGGATCTTCTATTTTATATATAATCTTGAGATTGTAAGGTGTGCCTTTTAAATAAAACATGCTGAATCTGGCAATACTGAAACGCAAATTAGTTAAGCAATTGTTGAAATTTTCACAATATCATTGTGTGAAAGAATGGCGCATTCTCGACGATGATTACTTATTATAATTTTAGTAATAAGAATACCTCTGTAGCGACTTTCACTTGGCAAACATAAGGCATAATCGCTACAGAGAACATAATTATTAATAAAATGCCTAATATGTAATTCACTTATGGCTATTAATGCCTGAATAGTGTGTCATATTTCTTTAAGCTTTTTATCTTAATTTTTGAGTAAGCTTGTAGGGAGTATGATCATGCTAATAATGTGCATTTAATTTTTGTAGCAATGGAATGGGCATAATTATGTCATGTGTTGAGGACATCTTGTTGGCTTTTTTGGAATGGCGAATTAAATTGGTTTCTTTAAAAAAATGTGTTTTATTGTACCTTAACCTCCCGTAATATTAATAGAATATAGTTTAAGCAGCAGGTACAATTTGGAAACAATGTATGATTTGTTTTCCTAAGTTCTTTAAACAAAAGTATGGTTTTGACAGTATTATAGTTTTTGAATTTAGTCTCTCTAAAAGAACCAAATTAAAGTTATACCTAAAGGAATGGTTAAATGTAGGCAAACCAAACAAAATTATGAAGAGTTAAAATGAAAAAAGAAATAATGTTTAAATTCATATAATATCCCCATCATACCTTGTTATTACTTTTTTTAGAACCTTATATTTAAAATAAAACACTTTAACGGTTTTAAACGCCATATATATTAGTTGAATTTGATATTAGTCGAAGTCTCGGATGCTTTGCAGCAGCCGTGGTCTCCACGCTCGTGTTTTATTTTAAAGGTGCACTTACTCGCGTAAACTACAGACAGTATTTACTTAATCTTATATTTATTACCATTATTAATGTAATATGCACTCACGCAAATACAAAAAAACAATATTACTTACTACTTGAATATATTTAAAATGTAAGTTTACTAAGTTAGGATTATTTAAGATTTGTTAAGACTGTTGTGAATTTTGTAGGCGTTGGTAACACTGATGAATTCAACCCAGTATTATAAGCGCAATAAAATGTCTATCATTGCCTTCATATAATATATAAAACATATTTTGGTAGTGACAATAATTTAAACACACGGACTTATACGAAGAGGAATTAATTTAACAAACATTCTGATAAAAAAATATCACAAAAGGGTTAAAAACATTGATTTTAAATAATGGTTAAAAATTTTAATGATAAATTTCCCGATCCCTCGGTTACATCCTCTTTCTTTTATTCACTCTTTACTTTATAAAAATATAATCATCTTTGAACTTTTTTAAAGTATAGATATTTTTTGGATTTTAGTGAATCATAAATATTTGTATCCTAACGTCTAACGAAAAAAAAGACTGATTTAAATGACATTTATTGGAAATAATCTTTGCCGGTAATGAAAACCAGCTCCAAACTCCAAAGAATATACTTACTAGCTCTATGTAATACACTACAGAGTATGGTTCTAACTTCCGTTATTTGAAGGCGCTGTGTTGCCCACTTTATCAGTTGCTTTATTTAACAGTGTCATTACAATTAAGGTGCAAACAATTAGGATAACAAGCATTAATTGCTGATTTTTGACTCTTTATAACTTGCAAATAAATTTTAATTTTAATGGATTTGTTGTAATAAAATAACGACGTTGTAATCAACATCATTATTTTATTTTATGCTTCCTAAGGGTATCCATTAAAAAGTGCTAAATGAGATAAATAATCCTGGCAATACTAACTTTTTCACGGCGTCACACAAGAAGTTGATGGCCACCCGTCAGTTCAGTTTCCGTTTGAGATAACCTTGTGTATTACACTTGTGGTGTTTATATTTTCATTGTATAAAACTAAATTCAACACAAATAAACCAATATTTGGAGTAGAGGTATGTTAGTCCCTTTAAATTATTCATTGTATTTTCCTATTTTTTCTAGTTAAGCAGAAAAGTTAATTTCGAAGTTTAATAAAATGCAAAATGCCGCCATATTGCCGAATATCGGCAGAATAATGTTTAATGAATATTGTACATTATTTCTGTTTGTTCTATAGTTATTTTTTAAGGCTTCATATTTATTTAAGGATAATTTTATAAGAATCATATCTATCATTTTAGCTCGAACACCAATGCAAAATATTTTTAAAAAGAACGCGTGGTAAGAGAAGTGAAGTGCCGCCATTTCACGTTCATAGGTTATCGATTTTTACAATTTGTGCGTCGTAGTATTGTGTAATGTCGCAGAATTTCACATTTTTTATCAATTAGTGTAATATTTGCCAAATTACTCGTCAGTTCTGTTCGTAAATTGATTAGAAAGACCGTGTGTGTATTGGGATATAAGAATTTGCACAATCAAGGCTTAGTGAACCCAAATTCAACACGTGTCTTCAAGTGATGCCTTAGTGTGGTGTGGAGTTTACGATATAATATATATGTGGCTAAATAACCACATTTCATTAATATTTTCCGACAACATTTAATTATGTCTAAAAGAAGTAATCAACGGTAAAGAACATACATCCATCTATTCTTAACAACACCGAAGTATATAAATAGTTAAGCTGCCTACATTATTAACGAGACTAGTTTTACAATTACATTTCAATTGTTACAGATCATCCCAAAAAATGGTTGGCTCTAGAGTTTATGTAGGCGGACTGCCCTTCGGCGTCCGCGAAAGGGACTTGGAAAAGTTCTTCAAAGGCTTTGGCAGAATCAGAGATATCCTCATAAAAAATGGCTATGGCTTTGTGGTAAGTCCTAATGCAGTAATAATGTTCTATAAATGTAACCAGGTTAGCTATAATTTCGTAACAAATGAAGCATCATTAGTGAATATGTATTGCCCTGTAAATAGCCTCACTTAACTTGAACTTATGTTGTTCCACTAATATTTTACCTATAATTTAGTAAATAGGTTATGTTAATGACCATTGTTTTTTTCATATTGTACAAATTAGAAATTTTAAACCAGTTCTAGCAAGAATTTGTATTATGCCATTATAAAAGTGAAAGTACCAGCCCCGACTAGTCTAAGTTTTGGTAATGATTTCTAACAGATCCTAGGCATTAAACATGAGATTATTTTAAACATTATTTGCAGGAATTTGAAGATTATAGAGATGCAGATGATGCTGTTTACGAGCTGAATGGGAAAGAGCTGCTGGGAGAAAGGTATAAAATAGTATTTTTATCAGTCATTGGTTTATTCCAAGGAACTGAAACATGGAAATCTTAATGCAAAAAGTAACAAATTGGGACAAGTAGATGTTAAATCTTTTAAATCCTAAAATTGCTCGACATTGCAAATATTAGTAGAATGAGTTGTGAGCAAATCAGTCTATGAAAAAAAATAGTTATTCATCATGTAATTTTTCTAGTATATTTTTAGTCAATTTGCTATAAAAGTTATTTTTATCAATGATTTTCAAATTAAAACTAGTATTATGTGATAATGTAACTAACATATAATTATTTTATTAGCCGGCTCCACATTTTGAAAGAAGTGTATGGAGAACTGATAGCATGTTTTGAGAGTGTGAAAGTTTCTGTATGTCTTGAGAGATATTTTGTAAAGTTTATTTTCTTGAATGAATGTGGATGAATTTATATCTATTTTGTATAATTGACGGTAGGTGCTGTATGCAACTCATTGTTGACAGAGAATATTTAAATTGGTGCATTTTGTATAGCTTAAATTTCCCTAAGAGAGACCTCATTGATGATAGGTTACTTTTATATTTGTGTATTGTGGGTTCGATAACCCGTTAGTTTTCGAAGACAAGGCTATTTATATAGATAGGCGTTGGGAATCGTGTCTCGATCAGGCAATAAATAGGTGGTCAACGAGGGTGGTGAGAGGCGGTATGAGCGCGACGTATGAAGTGGATGTTCGGCATGAAGGTATAACGTGCGGGGGTTGCTACAGGGTGGTGGTGGAGCCGGCGCGGGGCATCGACCGCAGCGCGGACCGCTACCGCCGCGACCGCCACTACGAGCGGGACCGCGGCCGCTCGCGCTACGAGTGAGTAACCACTTGTTGTAGGGTGAGCGTGGAGCGAGCGCGCGGCGTGCCTCGCGGTTCCGACCGCTGGCGAGGCAGAGATGCGCCGCCGCGACGCGCACGCCCGCCGAGACCGGCCAAACCGCCATCGTCTGTATACCCACACTGCACACACCACACATACCCTACACACTGCTTCTCTTTAGGGGTTGTCCATTAATCAACGTCACGTTACGTCTACTAAGTATATAATGGACAATCTCTTACATGCATTCAGTAATTAATCTTGCATGCACTTATCAACGAATAAATATAAAAAAGATCTAAAATTAGAATTCAAGAATATTCTGCATGTTGACAGACACATGAGGCAAATATTTTATGTCAAGTATATTTATTCGTAGACCATAACCTGTCTATAGTTTACGCGAGTAGTACACATTGAAATAAAACACTAACGGTTTAAAACGCGATATATTACGGCTGCTGCAAAGCATCCGAAACGTCGGGCCGAAGTTAAAAATCATTTTCAAATAAGTTTAACTAATATATCGCGTTTTAAACCGTTAAAGTGTTTTATTTAGACCATAACCTAATAAAATAAAACAAGTCCTTAAGCCTTACGCCATCGCAACTTTTACAACTGATGTGTAGTGGGTGATTTTTTTTTAGTGCCTTTTATCTTTTTCATAGCTTTGGATTTTCAAATAACTTTAATTACAAGTCTTATTAACCTAATTTTAAATTAGATTTGAATATGCTGATCAGCGTATTCCAATCTAATTATGCTGCATAAATAGTTGGTATACATTTATTATTTTTTAATAATGTAAAAGTATGTATACTCGCTTACTTAATTGTGATACATAAAAACTCAGTTTCTTGCATATTTTTTTATTAAAAATTTTATATTGTTGATATTTTCAATTAGTCTTACCTTGAAAGATAATGGCTGTATGATAAACACAATATCAGACTGTTTGCTCTGTTACAATACTACAATTTGTGTATGAAGGTCAACTAAAGTTTCAAGTACTTAGATATAGTTTCTTTAAAATAAAATAAAAAATACCTATTTTCATCAATTATGTGCAATTTTTCATTATCGACTGTGTATACAACTAAAACCAAATTTTAGTTGATCGTCATACATATTCAAGAGAAATAGATTTTTTATCAAAGTTTTTGTAAAAAGGAACTTATGATAGAATTTCTATTACAGCAACGACAACAATTACAGATATGGGCCGCCGACGCGTACCGAGTATCGACTTGTCGTCGAAAATCTGTCAAGCCGCATTAGCTGGCAGGTAAGAACTAGAGCGGAAGCGCCTCTCCATCATCATCCTCCCATCATTCATTCAGGGTCTGGACTCAGGGCAATCCACTCTTTGCTGTGGTCTTGGTTTTCTCGTATTCTATGGCTTGGAGCACACGTGGCACCTCGGGAAGACGAAAGACACTCGATCAGTCTGGTCAATGCGGCGGTGAGATACGGCACTCGAAGAATTAGCTGAAGACTATTGGAAGACTTAAGATGATAACAAGGAAACGAGAGATGGCACGAGCAAACAAAACCCAATCGAAAGATGACCGTTGACGGCGCCAGAACACCGAATCTATAAATTACCAGTAACATAAAAAGTAATTGTTAAATAAATAGTAATAAAGGCTATTTCTCTTAACTTTTCAATGTAAAGTCAATTGTTATTTGTTTTAAAAGAACTGCGATCTCATAGATTCATTTTTAAACAACGACAGAAGGTGGCCTGTGCCCTTCCACGATGTAGCCCGTGTGTGATGCGCTCTGGATGTTAGGAGGGATATCGGTGTGAGGCGTCCCGCTACCCACTCAGCCCCCTTGAGGTTTCCCGGAGCCCCTGCCAGCCGATGGCCTAGTGATGAGCACCTATTCCCGGGACCCCTCTCAGGTAATGTCGACCAGGGGGGCACTGCAGGAGCCGTTTGTGCAATCCCACTGTAAATTCATTCATCATGTCATTCGGTTCGTTATAGCAACTAAAGTGGCTATTTTGGACTGTTTTGTTTTTTCTATTATTTTACAAGTGTCTTTGCAGGTTTTCGTAGATTGTCCTACCCTCGGTGTCATTGCTTCAGGAAAATGTGCTAATAATTATGAGCGAAACAAAGACGTGGAAAATAAAGATATGAAAGGAGGAAGTTATAATGGAAGTTTATTAACTGGATATGGCAGATAAAGTAACGAGCATCAAACAAGTTAAATAACCGCGTGACCTGAACTGAGACATCAAATTTAAATCGGTTGAATAAATTATGACCCAAGTGGAAATAAGAGTAGATGAATATGATTTATCAAACAATCGAATACTCAGATAATGGCATTGGATACAGACAATCTATGGAAGCTATAAAAATTGGGACAAATACTTGATAAAGAGAGAAGCAGCCTTGGAGACATGACAGAAATCAAATGGTGTGATGATTTGTCGGAGATGATTGATGGTTATAAGGAAAATACACTGAACATTTGGAGATGGAATCCGCCCTTACACTGAACTCGGGACGCAATAGCAATGATCACTGAAGGGTAACCGTTTGCGAAACATCTGCATTTGACATATTTTGTTTTTCTTTTGTATCACAAGTCTCATCAGGGTTGTAACGCAGCTAATGCGTAGGCTAGGTTCGATCTGCGTTTCTTATGATGATATCGATTTTTAACCATCTTTCGGGGCTGAAAACCTTGATGTCGACATTCAATCTGATGTCACCGATCATTTAGGTTATAAAGTTCAGGTTGCTTGCAGTTCTAACATACGGTTTGATTGACAGGATTTAAAGGATTACATGCGGCAAGCTGGTGAAGTGACTTATGCTGATGCACACAAGCAACACAGGAACGAAGGGTAACTTTCAAAATTATATTTTCATTTAATGGACTTATCGGTATCTGGGTAAACTTTAATTATTGGGAATGGTAATTAAGAGAAGACTTATGCAGTTCTCACTTTATTGGACCTTATCATTTCAAGGTTTATTCATTTCTTCAAATAGCCATACTAGGTGTATGCTGTTTGAGGGTATTTTGTCCTAATGAAGTATTTTTATTTCCAAGTCACATTCATTATCAGTTTTTGTGATGATATCGTATTTTAACCATCTTTCGGGGCTGATCACCTGTGAATGTCAACCTTTACTCTGAAAATAATTCACTGCCATTTGATAACAACACACTCTACTGTCTATCCTTACATAATAGAGATTGGAAATTTTAGGGTGGTCGAATTCGCGACTCATTCAGATATGCGCGCGGCCATAGAAAAGCTCGATGGGACTGAATTGAATGGACGTCGAATCCGTTTGGTCGAAGATCGTCGGTCTTCGCGTCGCAGGTCTCGGTCATCATCCAGCAGATCCAGAAGTCGCTCTCGTGACAGGCGCCGCTCACGATCCAGGTAAAGTACAGATCAGGTTACACTTAGAATATGAAAATATATCTGACAGACTTATACATATTATTGTAATGGATTTAGTATTGTTTACAAGTACAAGTTGAATTGAACGTTGGAAATTTAAAAAAGTTTAATATGATGATATTGTTCTTTAACCATCTTTCGGGGCTGACACCTGTGACTGATAAATCCAACACTGAAGCAGTAGTGGTTATATCCATAAAATATCTTTCATTTTAACTGTTCTTCTAAAATATAAGTCCTTATTTCCAGGTCCCGTTCGCGTCGCTCCTCTAAGAGCCGTTCCAGGTCCCGCCCAAAGAGCAAGAGCCCAGCTGCGAAGTCTAGATCCAGATCTAGATCTAAGTGAGTTTTAGTTATTTTGGGATACACTACGACGCTACATTTATAACGGTCATAGTATTTGAACAATGCATGCTTTCATTTTAACATTTACGAGGGCCAACTTATATTTTTTCAGAAAAGTGCTTGTTCTTTTTTTGTTGATAAAGTATAGGGAATAACAGTAAATACGCGAACAGTAAATACAGAAGACGCGTCTTTAAGGATTGAAATAATTAATTAGTTTTATCCTCTTTAGAAATACTTACTTAATTATTTTAGTGAATTAGAATTGGCTTTATCTGTCTTGCGTTACTAAATAAGATAGCACAACTTATTGATGTAATAACTAAACCCCGTTTACGCTTGCATGCAACGAATTGTCAGATATTTCGCAATATTAACTGAAACTGCGCAATGCATGAAACTTCTCAACGAAATTAACATAGAATTCTTTGGCTAGGTGTGTAATAACAATCGCTGAGCAAAACTTGAAATCGTAAGTAAATTAGTGTAATAAAATGTCGGTATTATGTATTTGTTTTTCTCTCTGGGCATTTATCGTAGACCGTATTGATGTATAAGAAAAGAGAAAGTTTGTCAACGGTTCGTAGTTTTAGAAAAAGAATGATCCGGTAAAAATAATTGTACTTTCACTGTAATATTCTTACCACAGTTTTAATTATTTCTTATAATTTAATCCTTTCTATTAATAATTTCCTTGAATACTGGCTGCTCAGCGTGTTGTTTTAAGATTGTCATTTACTGTCCAAAGAACTCAAATAATTTCAAGCTAATGGAAACGTTGGCAAACTTATTGTTGTGTAGCAAGTAGTAGCTAGCTAATAATCCCGGGCACAATAGGGAACGCAGCAGATCTAGATCCGGCTCCCGGAAGTCTGAGACTCGTCGCTCGAGGTCGCCGCACCAGAACGACGAGAGGAACGGAAAGTCCGCATCGCGCTCGCCCAAACGCGACTCAAAGTAAGTGGCTCGTGCTCTCCGGTATCTGCTAATTCGAGTTAACCATGTGCAAATGATGTCAGATATATTTACAATAAGCTTATATATGATATCTACTATGCTATTGAAATAGTATGTGTGCGAGTGGTGAATATGAGCGCTAGAGATGTTAAAAAAGTTATAGCTCCATATCGAAAGAAATTGGAAATATTGCTTCTAAAAAGACATATAAAAAATATGTACTTTTCTTCTTCATACAAAAGTTACAATCGCCACTTATTTTAAACTATTCGTTGACAAATATATTTGAATATATACAAAAATCTTAGCTTAACCCTAAAATACAATTATTTTATAAAGTATAATTTTCGATTAATATCTGTCTTGCTTTCCTGCAACATGAAGGGATCCTACAAAAAGGTGAGCTACCCACGGACCTTCTGAGTACCACATATCTAGAAGATAGTTTTATTAATAATCTTTGTTAAGATAGTAGTGTAGTTTGGTAGTATTGTTTTTAGTTTATACTATGTGGCGTTAATTTTATTTGCTCCACATTCATGAAAATTTCAAGTAGCTCAGATTACTGACTGAGAATTTAAAATGTTTATCAAAAAGGTAATCAATGTGATATGATTTCTTTTATGTGTATTTAATTTTTGGTTTCTTATAGGGAGCGCTCGCGTTCTCGCAGTAAGGAAGCCGGCTCGCCGAAACGCGACGAGGCTAGGCAGGCGAGCAAGTCGCGCTCCCGCTCCAGATCGCGTTCCGGCTCCCGTTCCCGCAGCGGATCCCGCGACAGATCCCGTTCTGCGTCACCGCGCCAAAACGGAGAGTCCAAGGACCGCGCCAGCCCAGACCGCTCTCCTCGTAGCGGCGATTAGATTCTACCAGACCGCGCGGTGGACGATTACTCGTTTCGGAATGTTATTCATACGATCTTACTCTGATACCTGTAAGAGATTGCTTGATTTTGAAAACGTTGGTGACGTTGTGTTGCCATATTACTAAGGCATTGCATAAATAATCTTTTCATTAGGAATTGAATGCCCAAAGACCTAGGTCTTGTTCGTGACTTGTCGAATTAAAAATTGCAATTCTATTAAATCTTTACTATACGTAATGTATGTACTATTTGTCTTGGTCGTTGACGTGAACTGTTTGTTTTCGATATTGCAACATGGTAAATTTTGCATGTTGCCTGTACATTATATAAAAATGGAATTGGTCTTATTATGTCGTCTATCGTCGCGGTGTTATATTTTAGTTCGATTAACATAAGGTTTAGAATAATTCATACTATATTTTGCGACGGTTTGATTTCGCATCGTAAAAGGTCTTTTATTCGAACAATAGATATGCGATGCGTTGGCGGAATTAATGATCATTCTTTTTTAAGAAACCATTCATACCAGATCATCCATTTGAAAGATTGTCATAAAATATGTTGGGACACCCCTATTTTACATAGGTTAAGATATTTTGTAAATACGGTTTTGATTTAAGGCACCAAAAATAAACGTTAAGATTGTATGTGATTTGTCTTATTCAACTTATATTTACAGGCATGTACTTGCAGACAGGAAAATCGCATTTTTTTTTTAATATTACCGGCTTGTACGTGAAACAATGACAAACACCAAGGGAGAATAATCTGAATTCTCTAATATGTAAAAATAAATCAAGGAACGGTAACAATAAATTTTCAAGGGTTAATACTGAATGAAAAAATACATAAGCAAATATTACGCATCCAACAGGACTACTGGAAATATTTACTGGTATATATCCTGGTATTCATGGGCGACACCATACAGCAGAAAGTAATGAAAAATTTCTTTGACATTTTGGACATGAAAAAGAAGCTTATTTAAATTTGTATATGACAATGCATGACATCTTATATACTATAACATAAAGCATATATAATTGTAAATAATACGAACTCCTGTTACCATTAATCTCGCAGGTAAAATTGCCACGTGAAGATCAAGTTTGTCAGTTTGCAATGGACTAACGCTTCATTACTGTTCTAAGAGAAATAAACTAGCTTCGGAGTAAATACGAACTTTGAAAGCTAATAAAACGGTTTTTAATTGATCTGTTAATTAAAAATCTAATATAAAGACAATTGTTGACAGGCTGGACTGGATCAGACTTTCTTAGGGATCCACGCTGCAACCATTTGAGGTACCGTAGTAACAAAGTTATTTCTGATACATGCACCTCACGCGCAATATAATTTTAATCTTAATACTTACATAAGGCTTAAATAAATTGTATACAGCATGTATACAATTGTAGTGTAGCATATAATCATTAAATATAGTTTTAGTAATCTTTGTGATTCATAAGAATATTTATTCTAATCATGTTGCCATATTAACGGCTGTAACCTTTTAACTGGTAGAAGCAACTTTCGGTGCTCATCGGTTAAAAACAAGGAGGAATTAGAAAATAAAATAACTTTAGTTATCTTTTGTAAACAATTGTTTATTAACATTTTATTTCTCGTTGCATCACTGCTCATTATACACATTCGTCACATACACTCGCTGGCAAAAATATCACCGCTTTAGCAATACAATAATATGACTTGTGATAGGATCTGTGTGGAATCATTTGTTACACTTCCTCATGGCATGCTTTCATTTTTCTTTTGAAATCAACATGTGAATATACTAAAAGTCGATGAAGTATAGAATAAAATAAATTATTGTACTTTATCTAAACTTAGAAAAATATAGATTAATTAAAACAATCACGTGATGTGCATGCAAAATAACTTAGAAAATAGCGAATAAAATAGAGTAAAAAGATATACATTTAGTAGTTGTTCCCTTGCGAGAGATGGAATGATTTGAATTTTTATATTCTTTCAGTATACTCACACTTAGTGTAAATGCATTTTTGATTTATAAGATCGATTTAGTGGGCCAATATCAGCGAGACATCTTTCTGTTAGTCAATTGTATATAATCAAAAAATAAGTGAATCTCGATTAATTAAAAACAAATTCAACATAGTTACGATTATTTCAATAAATAAATTAAAATACTGTCATTGTATTCCGTTTCACATTTTATGAATAATTTAAAATGCTCAAAAAGAAAAATGAAAGTTACATTTCACTGTGATCAATGTTTAAGTACACTAAATATAGGTTGTCGGCAATTCTTCGTTTCTCATAATTTATCCTTACATTTTGTCATCTTACAAAATTAAATACAAGAACATTATTATTGATCATCAGTCTATTCAAAGTTTGATATAAATTTTACAATTTTGTCGATTCTAACCGTCACTAAATCTACGGGTACAAAAGGCAACATAAGAGGCAACAACTAACGTTTAAAACAATATCTACAAAGAGTTTCATATCCATAAAACGGAATTTTTATATAAATTATTTCCACATTTAGCCGATTCTTTGACGCACGTCCCATGATCGTATGATGATGTCGATCATGGGCCTCGGGTGAAGAATCGATATAAAAACAGCTGCGGGGCTCAGTCCAGTATCTCATGAAGCCAATTTGCAGCAGCCAGAAGGCCCTCTGAATTCAGCTTCACGAGACGAGACGGACAAATTAAAATAAATAAGTTAAAACAAGTTACAATATGTCGTATGTTGCCTAATTACATAATAATTATAGTCACAGTACTCTTACAAAATGGAGAATATACTTACACCGCTAACTTAATAACTTTTTTATACAAAATGACTTAGGTTTCGACATTCTTATAAGTACTCAAATTATCTTTAATCTATGGACTAATACGTGCGTTGTTAAGGACCGAGCGCAACCGTCGCGCCCTCTAAGGTGTCAAAAGGTAACTTAAATGACGCGACAGTTGCCCTCGGAATAAAGGAACGTTGTTTGACCTGTATTCCGCTGAGAACACGGCAAGAGATGTAAATTAGAAAAATCTGTGTCGATTTTCAAAAAAACCTGAACAAGATTCTTAAATCAAAAAAATTATAATCATAGGAACAATGATAATAATTAGTCAAATCACAATATAATGTTAAAAGAGCGCGTGATTCGCGAATACGAGAATATAGTCTAATAACGCACGGTTTGGTTTCTATACTGGTGCGAGTCTAAGAAACAGCGGAGTGTGAATGTCATACACATTATACTTTTTACCACACCGAACGGAGGTTGGGTCGTTTCATCTCTCTCACCGAGAGGAGTGAAAGAAATGAAGCAACGAGAGAAGGAAAAGACAATAAAATAGAATATATCGCAGATATATTTGAAAGAGTGTGAATGAAGAGTATAATGTATACGTGGCGTTCCCTGCGATGGACCAACCGCAGGGGCGCATTCACCGTTACCTACAGAGATCGCATACAGTGGACTTCGGCCCACCGGCCCACAGCCAGCGCGGTCCCACGCCCAAACACCGCAACACAGGCAAGACGGGAACGAATATAACAAAGAGACAATTCTAATATTGAGTCGATTGGAACAAAATGATCTAATAAGCTCGCCAAGGCGGAGTCCAATTTTGTCCCAATACCCCACATGAAAGCGGTGTCGGGCGCCGCTCGCCGATTCCGGGCGTAAAACAATCCGTACCGCCATTACTATTTACAGGGCGTAGGATTGTAAAATAAATACATCCGAATACTTAACCTAGCCGTTTATACAGGGTCATTTTACATTTAATGCTATATGTACACGCGGCGCACAGCCTTGATCGCACGAGCGTCCGATTTGAATAAATAAGTTAATGTCCATGTATTTAGTTATCACTACACTTGCGTTGCGAACGTCGGCGGCAGGCAGTGGTCGTCCAGCACGTACACCCCCCCGCCTTCTAGCGCGCGTTTCACTAGCGATGTATCGCTGTAACAACAAGATCTCGTTAGTTTCTCGACTCATTGACAGACGATGACTTCGCTGAACATGGTTTAAGCTAAACTTTGGTGCTATTAGTATTATTGTTGAGATGGTCTAAGCCAAGCAAAACAAAAGATACTGACCTATTGGCGCAGTACGCCGAGTCTGCCGAGAGCCGCGACAGTCTGGGGTCGAGCGCTGCGATCAGTCGCGCTGCGCTCTCCGTGTTGAGCGTTTTTCTCTTACACTCTTCTGCCGCCGCGTTGTGCGCGTTCTGGCATTCAGGTACTGGCCCTTCACACTTGCCCCAAGTGTTTCTTATCACGCGGCCACCGTTGCCGGCGTTCGCTGTGTTCTGCGCTCTCGCTTCGGCGTCCGCCGCGTTCTGCGCGCGTTTTCTTCGCCTTCTGATACACGCTACCGCTATTGCAGCAGCTAGCGCGGCAGCGGGCACTGCGGCGGATAGTGCAGCTATCAGCGCCACGTGACTCCCTGATAAGGTTTCTCCCTCTAATGTCTCGTCTCCCACTCTTCTCAAATGACCCCCGGCTGGTTTGGCAGCCGCAAAGTCCGCTAGTGACACCGTACAAGATTTCCCACCCCACCCGGGCGGACAGTTGCAATGGTAGCCGTCCACTCTATCCCGGCAAGTCCCGCCGTTCCTGCAGGGAGCCGACGCACACTCGTCGATGTCTATGCTGCAGTCTTTTCCTGCAAACCCAGGTCTGCATCGGCATTCGTAATCGTTGTCGAGAACGTGGCATTCACCTCCGTTGGCACAAGGTTTGGCAAGGCATAAGTCCACGCGAGTTTCACACCTAGATCCCAGGAATCCAGGAGCGCATTGACACCTCTGCCCGTTGACTAAATCCACACAAGTGCCTCCATGTTCACAGACGACGCCGGCGCAATCGTCTATGTCGATTTCGCATCTATTGCCTCTGAAGCCAGGTTTGCAAGAGCACCGGAAACCGTCGCCGGCGCGATTGCAGGTTGCTCCGTTCCGACAGGGGCTGGCTGCGCAAGGATCAGCTTCGACTCCGCAGTCGAGCCCTGCGAAGCCTGGTGGACATAGACACACGTAACCGGAGGGTCTCAATTCGCAGGTTCCGCCGTTTCGGCAAGGTTGGTCGGCGCAAGTCTGTCTTCTGATTTCACAGAGCGCTCCTTCGTAACCAGACGGGCAAGCGCAGGATAATTCACCGCCTTCCGAGACGCACGCACCTCCGTTGGCACAGGGTTTCACGGCGCACGAGTGCAGAGATTTCTCGCAATTCGGCCCCGTGTACTCAGGAGGGCAGACGCAGGTGTAGCTGCCTTGCCCGGTGTTATGGCACGTCCCTCCATTCTTGCAGGGCCGATGATTGGTGCAATAGTTGAGATCTTGGTTGCAGAAAAGGCCACCCCAGCCCTCTTCGCAGTTGCAGTCCCACGGCTTGGAGCAAGTGCCGTGCACGCAGCCCGGATGCCTTTCGCATTGGTCACAGAACTCGCCCACCCAGCCCGAATGACAACTGAAATAAAGGAAAACAGCGGTCAGTAAAGTATACGATGTGATAACGAGCGAACGAAGCATATGTCGTGCGGTACAATGAACGGGATGAATGATTTAAGAAGTTGGGAGGATGGTTTAAGCGTTTAGCACGAAGGTGCGAAGTGGATACTCACAGGCATTCGTCGGGCTTGAGGCAGTGGCCGTGCTCTGCGTCGCAGCCGGGCAGACATTTCGCTGTAACAAAAGGAAAACGTTCGTTAGCGCTTCGAGACAAAGCATGCACAATACTGTTTAATTAAAGTGCGATTGAATATACAACGCTACGAAGTTAGAACTTAGAGTATTAGTTAAAATATGAATGAGATAAACTGGTATTATGGAATTATTGAAGAGGGTTTTAAACAAAGAGAGAGGTTACCTAAGGCCGAGGCCGGGCGAGACGATCATTTATCTCACGCAACCAATATGAAATTCCTCTTAAGTGCGATTAGTTAAAACCTCTCCTTACCGAGAACGCTTTGCCGGTTAAATTGTGACCTACGCCAATATCTATTTAAAACCTCGACGGCCGATTATTTTTAGGTTCGCAAGTTATAAAATTACAGTACATACGCTGGAAATACAATATTTTATACGCAGACAGCGGGCGTAATATGTACGCATCGTTAACCGTGTGATTTACGTTCTAGCGAACCTTACCACCTTGCTCGACCGCATAAAATTCCTGTAAGCCCGCGAGTACATTGCGGCATCGGTACAAAAGAAAGCATATATTACAATAGGTTGCGGGTATGTAGGAATTACATTATTTTGTAATAGAAGTGCGGCGTCGCGTCGTATCGGTCGGGTGCGCATGGGCAAGTTATCGGAGCGAATACAAAGGGGGCAGATAGTGCGGGGAGCTAACCGTCACCCGACCGTTACTAGTCCCCTAACTAGAAAAATAAGACGCCCGCAATTTATATGGAAATGTTAAGCTGCAATTCGCTTCCATTTAATCGCGGAAGCGACTATCCCGATTCGAGGAGCGGGGAATAAAGGAGATTAGTGCTCCCCAGACTGTTATGTTACGCTAAAGCTCCTAAACTCCAATCGGCTTACAGTTCGCTCGCCAAATTGGCAGAGTTTCGCATTCGCTACGGTCGTGTTACGGTAATACAAACGTAATATAATCCGCTTTCACGTTATTTGTACTTTCACTGGAATATTCAGCGTTTTAATTTTGAGTGAGCTAATAAGAGTTAATAGGATACATTAAGGTGGGCGCCACGCGTCGGCGCAACTGATCAAAGACTCAAGTGTCGACCTCATTGCTCATTGCACTATCCACTCCACGTACCTTCCACTCGAATCTTATCTTGACCCTCGAGTGCTCGGTAGAACGGCAGTAAAACTACTATCAGATCGCTGGGGGAGGGTTATCGTAAACATTAATTGTTTTCAATTGCCTAGTATCGATTTCAGAATAAGGTGGTAGAATTTTTACACTGTTCTAAACATAAATAACTGGATATTCCTATTGAAGATTCGCCAACTGTTAATGTAACTGCTGTTGCCTGATCTGTGACAACCGGGAATAAGAAACAACAAGAACATTTGATATCGACAACGGATGCTCGTTCCGAAGAAATTTTTAGGAAGCGAAGGACAAAAAGCGTCCTTCCCCGAGGACTGCACGTGTTTGGGAGCAAATATACAGCAGAGCAGACATCTGTTTCTATAAACGGAAATTAGGTGCGCGTGGGATCCGCGAGACACAGAAGGTGTTCGTGAGAACTCTCGCTGATAATTAGGCGAAATTAAGCGGCCGTAAGGGTTTCTCCCGCGATGCTCGACCTATCATTAAGACGGAGCCCGAGATAATGTTGCCAGGACATGCAAATCAGTTTTCGGGCTAAGCGTTCCCAGAAGGAGATACCGTTTGGCAGATGCAATAGCATGACACGGTCAAGTACACGGTTTATTTCGAATCGGATCTCGTTCGAAGGTGTTTTGACCCGGATCGTAGGTGTGTGCGTGCAAACGCCGCTGACGTGGACTACCCGCGGCCCGTGGCGTTACCCGTTCGAAATTAATGCAGGCAGTGATCGTTAGCCGAAACAATATCTTTAAACAAGCTTTTAAAACATTTTTCTCCGTTCTTGCAACCTTATTACTACTCCGCCGTTATTAGATAGCTGTAGTAGACAAACTCCGTAGCTTTGTGAATTCTCGTGTGACGGGCCCTCGCCGTCCTGGAATCCGATGCGAGTCCTATCAAAAAGAGTGAATTCCCGACCGCAGCTATTCACTTTTACCAGAAAATTGTGATTTCGCGGTTATCACGTCGCGTGGAGGCTCTATGGTTCGCGGGCGGGCTGCAGCGCTGGCGTGCGAGAGAGAGGGGGCGATGTGCCTCCTCTCGCTCCGGCGTGTTTTTTTGCGGCGCCGGAGTGTGGGAACGCGGCGGCAGGTGGGGCTGCCGAGATTGCGACGCGACATCCGCCCGCCACAATGCATCTTGAGACGCACCGCTTTGTTTTACAATACAAGACGCGATGTGTTTAACATACGTCAGAACTCCGTAATGACGTTTGAAACGTTTAGACCTTTTTTGCGACCACCGATTCAATTGAACGGTGAAAAATACAAAAGGATCTAATAAATTAGTATTAGATTTTCTTGTATACTTTAGCTTGGATTTGTTTCAAATAGTAGGTTTGTTTGACAATAACTATGCTATTATTTTATATGCCGTTGCTAATTTTAAAATTGGAAAGTACTGAATGGGTATGCTGTAAATGTTAAAAAATATTCCAATTTTAAATTTCTAACTAGTGTACCGTCTTTTTTAACTCGCCGCAAATTTTTGTAATCTACCTTCATTATACAGTCTATAATTAACATCTTTGAGCATAAAAGTGATAAAAACAGTCCGAATGTGTCTGAAAGGATGTGTTAATAAAAAGATTGTGAATGTCGCTAATGCGATCTTTCTTCGTTCTGTTTACAAATCCGGCGGCATTCGAAAGTAAACAGAACCCACTGCGTTGGTCACACGCTCGTAAACTGTGCGACAATGCATACCGATATTGTTCTAACAAATAACATTTTATAGACGGATATAAATGCCGATGGAGTTATCTCGATGGTCAGGTTCATAATATATAATAATTTTTACACTAGCTGCCACCCGCGGGTTTTCGTGATTTTCAGTTAATAAGCTTGGCAATTGTTTTTTATTAAATATTAATAAAAAACAATTGCCAAGCTTATTAACTGAAAATTGGTGACAAGTTAAGGTGGTTAGACAAAAGGAACCCGACAGTTTTACAATATGAATATGGAGTGACCCCACGTAACTTTGAACTGCACATTTTCGGTCATTTACTTGATGCAATAAAGTTTAACGACGTCGAGAGATTAGATCTATTTCGGACCTCGTTAGATGTGAGTCAGCGGATATCAAGCGATTTTATTAGGCGCATTAACATTATTCTTGTGAAAAAATATGAAACAATTAGTAATAAAATAGTCGGTCGCCGCGCAGGAAGTGAGAAAGATTTATTTAATTAAAAGTTAAATGAACTCTCTAGTGGGTAATAAAAACTATGTATTAGTTTCTCGATTAAGGCGAGATGGATTAAGTTATTTTTAGTCGTTTTATATTGACGGAACACCCCTTAAGATCAGGGATCTTCTTGCTAGTACGATCGTTGTTATAGGACATAAGATAAGTAATGTACAGAATGGAAAGATGGCTGAATTTATCGAATTCTTGGTTCCTTTAGAGCACACATTGAAAGCCTCAGTTCTCCAGGTATGAACGGGAGGTTGTGAACCTCCCTTGACCTCGATGACTCACTGGGCGAGGCTAGAAAGCGCTGCCATCCGAAAGGTCGTCTGTTCCAATTTAGTTTATTAAAGGATGTTCGACCAAAATTCGTCACATTTTAATGAGGAAGAGGGAATTATTTTTATAAATTGGGTCGTAGATACGCGTAACTATTAACTCACACGTTATATCATACAAGGTTTATAATAAGTTAGTTTTATCGGCATCGTAAATCGAAAGCCTTTGAGTCGAGTTTGTTTACAAATCGTCGCCTACGCAGCTTTTAGTGGTACGTTTTTAAAGGACGTGATGGTGGCTTCTTTGCACGAACTTTTGTGAGTCATGGCGAAGGGAAGACATTGTTTTAACATAATTTAATTCGAGCGGTGTTTTTAGCTTGTTTAGTTGAGCTCATCTAAAAATAAGGTACTTACGTTTCGAGCAATAGTCTCCCGTCCAGCCTGGCCTGCAGACGATCTCTCCAGTCGGCGAGCATGTGTAATGGCCGAAACCATCATCCCTCGGCCGACAGAGAACCTCACATCCTGGCCCGTAGTAGTGGGCGGCACACGTCACCCTGTACGAGAGTCTCAAGTGAGCACCCCCAGAACCTCCCCACCTCTGATCTTCTTCTATCCAAGGGCCCCCGACGTCAGCCACACTCTGCTTCGTCATCCTCGCAATGAGCGTATCTGTAAATGAAAAGTCAATCTTGAATTCATCAACGCAAGACAGAATTTCGCGCAGCCTAATGAGATCAAAATCTCGCAAGCTCTTCAATTTGATAAGGAAAAAATACATTTATCACCGTGGGAATGGGTTGGCAAATTGACCTGTTAACGTGGGCCGTTTGACGCCCGTATACGAACGTGAGATTTCATCGTTCCCAAGCGTGATTCACTGTTTTGGTTCGTTGGTACGATTAGGAACATTTTTCTATTGAACTCGATTAAACTTGAAAAAGGAAAATGTCATTATTATTTCCCCAGAATCCAAACGTAGGTTTCTCGTGCTTTGCGCAATGTAAGACGTAGACACCCACAAAGCCTGTACGTTTGGAAGTGCCTCTCCATTCATCAAGGCATGCGCAACTGGGATGGGAAATCTCGGCGTTGGCCTTCTCTGCCTTATTTATTTCTCCTCGCGTACGCTTTTATTCTTTTTGCTCCGGCGTTACATTCCTAAGCTGGTAATCCCGACAGGAGATAAAATTAAACCAGACGCGAAACAAAATTAAAAGGTATACAAAACGATCGATCCCGACTAATTTTGTGGCGTATGGCATTCGATAGATTGTTCTTCGTTATTGTTGGTGTCAGCGATAAAGGGATCGTAATGAGATGAGGGTTATCTCCGATCGGATTCCTTTGTTGACATATAATCGAAATTATAAACGGATTCGAGCGGCCTTTCGAAGATCGGCCGGCTGTATGAGTAATGCCCGACGTTACGCAATACTCGCTTGGAAATCGGGATTCCGCATAGTGCACAATTCAAGCTTACGATGCGATGCTATCTCAGCAATAAATCTGTAAGATAAAACGAACCCACCACTCGCGAGTTCGCCCAACGAAAATACAATAAATATCAATAAATTGCATCGCATTCGCCTCCAATAGACAGCGTTAATCTTGTTTTAGTCGATTTTAGCGCGCACGGGAATAAGTCGCTGTTAATTCCAATAAAATAGATACGCTTCTCGGAACGATACAAAGTTTAGGGTTGGGAGAATTAGAAAAATGATGTGTGGGAACGGAGCGCGAGCAATTTAACTCGGCTCTGAGGAATTATGGCAACCGTGCACTCGCCTCCGCTAGGGCTGTGTTTTGTGTGCTATATGATTTTATAGCGCAACATTGCTGGGCTTACGCTTCTTGCTGACTTATAAGTTGAAAGAATGACGCCTCTATCCCGTATTTGTGGCGATTGAGTTTTCACTTGTGGACGCTGACAGGCCCATAGCGCATTCGAACCGAACGCGTATTGAAATAACGATTCCCGTCCGACGGAGCCCTGAGCCCGCACAAATTACACTCATCATTTTAAATCACAGCCGTAACGATATTAAATGAAGGTCTACCCTATCGCCTATTAATGTAGTTCCAATTTACAAATAAATAACGCATTGAAAAAAAGGAGCCGGCTACGTGCGGCGCACCTCGAATAGCGTGTAATTACGGGCCCAGAGGTCATTCAAACAAAACGAGACACAAGAAAGCGAAACAACCGATAATTTGAGGCCGGATCGGGAGCGGATTCGACTTTTAATATTCGTATAAGAGGAAGAAGGGATGCGATCACGCGAGCTTCCGTCCGCGATCGAGTGCGGCCGGACGCGCTCTCGATTATTATAATCGTCGTCGATATAATTAATCGCGAACGAACGAAAATGAAATCGCCGAGCATTCGATACGTGTTCTGGGCGACGTCTCGATTTCTCGCTTTGGCGACCCGCCTAACCGGCCCGGCCTCGAGCGTGTGGGAAACAGCATCTCATGAATGGACTGGGCGCACACGATGCTCCTTTTGTTTATAAAACTGTCCACTTCTAACGCGTATTTCAATTCGAGTGCCACGTCTTGCACTCGATAAACAAACCGTCTGACGGGCGACCGTCGAGTCGGCTTCGAAGCGACTGTTTTAATTTACTAGCTTTTTGAGGGCTTCTCTTCCGCGCCGAGATTCTAATGATTTGAGAAAGCATATAAGCAGAGTTATGAAATTAACTAGGCGAGCGTGTTATTAAGATAACATCTGTCAAAGTGCAAAGTGGCCGAGGACTGAATGTATAACGAAGGCGCTGCCCGCGGCGACGTAATTACCTCTGCCTCGACGAATCTGTTATCAGCAGTCTTTCACACGCTCCCATTCTCGTTCCACGTACGGAGGTGTAAATCGAGACAGTGCAATAATCGTAAACAGACTAAAACAGAACGGGACACTGTTCCCCGCATGCTCAGCGTCTGTCGACGGCACTTCCCGACGCGCGCTATCATAAATTGATCCTTGGAGCCTTCCGTAATTTTTTCACGCGACGAAAGATGAAGTGTAAACGAAATATTCACTTCCTCGGAGCTAAGTTTTTAGTGTCGGGTAAACAATGCGCGGGGCCGCCGGCGTCCAGGTGCGGCCTCGCTTCGGGCGACAAAAGATTTCGATGAAGGAGCGAACGGCGAGCTAAGAATCGCAACCCATTGTCGCGCAGCCATTTGTTCAGCGATTCCCTTTATTCGATAGCTCGCTTCGATGCTCTCGTGTTTATCTATGATATATTGCATTCTTTACCGTTGCCATTAGAATCGAAAAATCGGAATGCAGCTGTTTGCTATTAGACAAAAAACGATTATATGATTTAATTAAGTATTAACCGAACACAAACGGCGTCCGCGCAACCTGTTATTATGCTTGATTAGATTTCTGTTGGTAACATTTCTCGGTAGTGCGTGGACGACGCCCATCGCTCCCGCGCCGTATTAAAAATATACCCGTCTTAAGCTATCCGCCTCGAACTAATGATTTTCGGTAAACCGGCCGCGGAACACACCTTCCCGTATCTCCGAATCTGTTTTAAGTAAATCACTGTGCCTTTTTGTTAGTCGGTCAGGAGTAGTAATTATGTCGGTCAGAGTGCAACAGGATGAAAATCTAATTAAGAAGTGGGTGTTGCCAGACGTGCATCGATTTCTTTCTCGAAATACCGTCGCGTTCTTTTGGAAAACGTTGCTCTTTGACAAGTTATTATTTATTTGGGTCCGTTGCGAGTTATACGGCGGATCGTTGTGATGTATTGACTGTAAACGAGCGGGTACATTCGACCGGGATCGCTTTTTCGGTCACGCCATGTCGCATGTGCGCGGTGAACCTGTCGATTCTTTATTGGCCGATTATGCCGCGAGTGATATCGTCAAACGAAACGCCGAACTTTAATATCGATTCTATCAATTCGATCGCTCTAAACGATCGTTATCTCTAATTGTATGCACACATGACGTACGTTGTTCCCGCGTTTACGAGGATCGTAAACGTCGTACATTATTATGTTCGTATCGCGTTCGAGGCGCGGAGATGGATACGTAATTTTTTTCGTCTATCGGTCAACGGCCATCGGAATATATTAGAACATTTCTACTAAGTTTTCGTCCTACAGAAGGCTAAGTTTATTAGAATACGGCGCGCATTGCGAAGCGGATCACGCGCCGCGCCGCGTGCTCGGAACACCAATCGTCCATGCCATGGGAAAATTTTTGTCTTCCACGATATGATAATATAAGCATTCAAATATACATACTGTCCGTTAAATGCACGATAAACACCCAGAATTACAGGGAAACCTGAATGTGAGCGAGTCGTGACGGACGTGTTTCGAATTACTACAAAAATTGTTCAGAAGCACATTGGGATTAAATATTGCAACTCACCATCGGATCTCGACGTCTCGTTCGCATCGTGCCACGCTTCGACTATGAGGGAGAAGGTGCCCTGAAACACAAAAGACGGTTACAACATCGGCAACAACACACTAAGGCTAAAACAAAGGAGCTAACGTAATGCTATTTCGACCGAGATGCACCGATATCCCTTCATCTCGGAGACCTTTAGAGGCGCGCCCGCGCAGCGACTATTTCAAATATGCCCACTTTATGACGTCGCTGCGTCGCCGTACGGTGCATGAGTGTAAATTAACAACCCGATAGACAGGTGAACCGGGCGCAGATGGCTGAATTGTTTTATTCGAGCTAAAAATACACGGCGCGTAATACGACTGCTGCTAAACAACCCAATATGGAATCGTGTATTTCCGTGCGCTGGTAAAAAACGGGTGCGTATCAGATAGTGCGCTATTGACATTTGTCAATGTTTACACAAGGAGGCGAAACGGCAGTCCGAAACCGATTATCACTGATAACAGGAGTCAATAGCTCGAAGGCGCCTGGACCTTATCGTCTCTTTATGGCTCCAATTTCAGTTCTATGCGAAAATGCCTCTCCGATCCTCACAGACCGGTTTCGCCATAAGCTCATTTAACCTTTAAGTTCTATAAGACCTAATTGATAGTCACCCCTCGCTAGTGCGGTGCGATACTTTTTGCTCGTGCGATATTAAAAATAACATGATCATTGTGGCCTAGCCTTTAGCATTCTGTCGCGGAATACGACCCAGACATTGTACGCGATAGCAAAGTAAATATTCAAAATTGGAAACGGGTCACGTCATATCAATAATATAATCAGTAGGTACATCAATTAGAGGGCGCTGTGTGTTCTTTCGATTTTTTCCAGCTCAAAGGACCATGATGGTTATGGTGAATTAATTTATAATAAGTCTTGTATCTTTTTTTATACTAAAAATTTCTAAACAGATAAACGGCTAAAGTTTATCATTGGTTCCATAGATAAAATGAGGCATAGACTCTTGTCAATAATGTAATCAGTAGGGCCGTCCATATAAGATGGAGCGCGAGATGGGCGCACGGAACTCGAATGCAATTAGATACTATAGCATACGTCATATGCAGCTGTCACGGATGTGTAGGGTCAACATTTTATAAGATCACCACACGAACTTAAAGAGTGATTCAGTGACAGATGTCCCCGTCAATTAGCTCGATGAATGAAAACATAATTTGCATTAAGAAGCAACAATGAGACATTTGCATAGGAACTGATACGTATATGTCTTGTGAACGCATTGTCAGATGAAAATCAATGGTAGAAATCATTTTCCCAACGCCGCTACGTTTTTTATTCGCACAATTAAAGCTTTCGATGAAGTTATGACGAATATTAAGAGCTGCTTAGCGAACGGACGCGAAGCGGCTGAATACAAATCGATATGAAATTGCGAGGTTAGCGTTACGAATGTATACGTTTCTGCGATCGAATATTGGAGGCATTTCGGTCAGCTGTGCTCGGACGCCGGTTCCCACGACGAGACGGTGACTCGACGCTAGTCGTAAAAAGTGAACGAGTGTACCTTGTACCAGGTAGCGTGGCTACAATTTATAAATATCTGATTAATACTCGCCCTTATAATCTTGATATTTTTTACATCTACAGAATTTGATTAATCGATTTCCTCTCCTACGGTCTTGATACTTTTCTCGAACTCGTATCAGAGCATTTACCTTGCGTTAATTATATTGCTTAGGTACTTTCTCGAATTATAATAACTTTCTAAGCTACACGTACCGAATATAACTAATTAAACAAAAGCAAAGGCATAACAAAATATCGTGAGAATGTACCGTAACGACGCTTTTACCGGCCCTTGAGCGCGTTAAATTATATTACTCCTAGATGATAAGTGAATACGGTTGAATTATTTGATAATCGTTTTATGAGGGTGCTCTCATATCGGGCCCGGCTTTCTGTAATTAAAGAAACTAAATAAGGATACGTGGGAACGTCCTTATCTGCAATTGTCAGAGACAAAAGATAATCAGGTGGGGCTTCGCCGTTTGGACACATCTTTCGTGCACGTGTATGCGCCATTGTTCGATTTTTATTGTTTTCGAAATTAGAAATCGCCACAGATGTTCCGTATTTGGTTTTTCACACTAATTGTTTCATGGAGGTTGTATTTATCGGCCAGCAGTATTGTTTGTGTCGAAAAAAACATCACCGTATCTGCGGTGCCAATGCTACAGATAACAGAAAGGGCAATCGTTTTCAAGTTTCGACACGAGAATATAGCTATTTGGAACAAACGGCCAGCCAAGTGGAGGAGTCGTGATTTCATATTTCACACTTCACTAGTGTGGTAACATCGTCTTGCCTGAGACAGGTTTTTTTACTTAACTATATCCCGACACGCAGCGCGCGCGTTTGAGCGCTTCGTCGCTTGGAATAAGGTCGATTATGCGACGCGGGTAGTTTGTAGCTCGTTGCGCTCCGCTGATATGTGGCAGAGTGTTTTCGAAGCATACGTCAAATTAAAAGATATGCAAATTTCAATGTCTGCCCGGCACAGAACTCGTAGCGTGAAGTATTAAAGCGTATAATCCAAATTATTAATGCTTTTAATTAAGTTTATCTCATTCTATTTTGGCATCGACGATTGAAGAGATCGTTCACCTGGTGAATCATATCATTTTAGATCCTTAAATATTGAAATAACTCACTCCCGTGTACATAGTGTCATAACATTAGAGAACCGTGCGAACGAGATGTAATGTACAAATATTATCATATAAAAAATAACCAGGTCGACATTTTATTGGCGACTGCAAAGCATTCGTTTAGAATGCTAAGCAGTTTCGTGGTAATCGCGCTACGGCGAGCGGTACCGTGAGTCGAGTCTATTTCATATACGAATAACTTGGAAATACCTTTAACATACTTATCTGTGGATGCGGACACATTGAAATGGCTGTATGTAGACTAGATCTCAATGTAAATTAAATACGTACTCGATTGAAAATGAAAACTCTTTGTAGGTACCAAAATGGCACGGACTAATGGAACCGTAAATTTAAAAAAGGAACATTTAAGTCAACAAACGATAAGCTGCAGTCTCTGGTATTCGGCGCTTAATGATATATTTCGAATAAGTTTTTAATAGAGTTCGTAAACATCTTTTTTTACACGAATAAATTTAGATAAAGCCTTAATGGAAGATTGCAATATTAATATAGAATCAATTAGCCAAATTGAAGCATCACGATTTTATTCCTCGAGCAGAGAGATTCGTAGCGCTAAAGTGCACCAATTCGAGTTTGGATACGTGAACGTTGCAACGAATTGAGCCTCGTAATTAAATTAAGCCCGTTAAAAATTTCACACGCTAATAACGAAGTAACAGCCATTATCGCGGCCATAAAACGCCAAGCGAAAGACGACAAAGTAAACATTATAATAACCAAAAAGAAATATTAAACGGGCTTCGTTACGAAAGGATTAACTACCTCACTGCTTTACTCAGAACCATTAAAAATGTTAGAAAGCCGTAACTCTAACGAAACTTTATACGATTATACTAGCTAGGAAAGATAACGTATAATATTATAAAGTTTTATGTAATACATATAAGTTTAAGAACTTGACTTAAATTAACAAATAACACGGCTAATATGCTATAACGGGTTAAATTCATCCAGTAATATATCGTCGTCAATTACATCGTCGCGAAAAAGTCGAGCTCCCAGGAATTTGGAGCTTTTGGATGTGAAAAAGGAATAAATTCAATTTCACATGGCCTCAGCGGCATTTCGCGGACGGCAACCGGGGGAATTCGAAAAATGAAAATGCCGACCATAAACAACGGAGTGATTTGAATGAAGAAAAAAAAGTTAACATATTTCGGGAGACGTCTTGCGCTCGAGATGGAGAGATAACGGGTCGAGCGTTGAAACCCAAACCGCATAAGAATCTCATGATCGGTTCATCCGGATCTCAATGACGTCTCATCTAATACAAGTTTGGACACGAACCTCTCGATTCGTATCTCGTATTTTTTACTAATCCGCTTTGCATACCGCCGCGCCGTTTACATCTGAGCGGCGATGAGTAACTAAGAACCTAGTTATAAATGGAACGAGTATTCGCGCCGGTCCTCATAGGCAAGATAAATAAACCGATTGTTTGAATGGAGCTAATTTGCCGCAGACGTTTTCGCGGAATCGCCTGGAGGTTTAATCACGTCATGAGGTGGATCGACTCCGTGGTACCCTTAGACGCGTCTATAAATCCAGCGAGTTTACCACCTCCCATACTAAATAATGGCAGCGATTTATTCGCGCGGTCGCGGCAACGGGGCATGTGAGCCCCTCGCGTCGCTGTACGGTTCCTAGAAACTGCGCGCGTGTGATGAATAAAGACTGGAACGCGAGGAATTCCACCATCGCAGATTCGAGGGCTATCTGCGCCCTTGCCGTACGTGAGAAAGCGACCAGACGCCCGCCGTTAGAAACCAATAAAAGCGGAATGTAGACATCGCTCCAAGAAAAACTATTTTCAATTCGGAGCACCTAATCGATAGCGTTCGCCCGCGTCGATAACCAATAGTAACATTCAGCTACATTAAATCCTTTTCCTTAATCCACTTCATTAAGTGTTGCCACTACAAAAAATCCTAGTTGAGGCCATTATAAATCGGGCTTTTTGAACAATTTTATTGGCAGCCATAAATGTTAGAGACGTAGTTAAAATGTCAGAATCCGACCGTAAACGAGCGTTCGTTTGAAAAAGGAGTGTTTTCTTAGCGTTTCGTAGACGCGGTAATAACGAGACCGGTAAAGTTTATTGTCTACTCACTGTCTTGATGAGCTTATTTTCTTCTCGTCGATGATTAATCATTTATGACTGGTCCGGATTTGTTATTTTAGCGGACGTGTTTAATGGACATGCCTCTGCCTTTTGTCGTGAGTTTGTTTAGGACATCGCTAATCGATAGGAACCCGTTCGGACAATGCAACTAGCAATTATCCATGCTCCGAATAATAAAAGACACTTATGAAACTGAAGGATTGCAAGTGCCGACGCGGGCTACTCTTACGTTGAATTTCGCAATCTTTTTGTCCACGTTTAATTGCTCGCACGAAAGAGATAAAAGACGGCGTCGAAGAGGGAACGATGGCATTCCAGAGCTTCGGAAGATTATTAAAAGAAGCGGATGTAGGGGTAAGTATTTTAAGAGCGACGCGAGCGGATTGAGATAAAGGAAATTATTAAGAGCACTCGGGGATAAAAACTTCATAGACGGAAGTTACACCGGCTATAGAGATTCGTAGCGTATCGCGTTACTGTGAACCGAATGCATGCGATATTTAAATTACCCGATTCGAGTTATGTAACTGGAAATAGTCGCGTCCTTCAGTTCGACGGTTAAGCGTTAGGTTTTAATTGCTTTCCAATAGAAATGCCGCTAGGATAGAAATGTTGCACTCACACGCACCACAATGGGTTAACGTCAGACGTGCGACGTGTACCGTATTGTCACAGATTATATTAGCTCTAAGCCCGTCATTATGACGTTATTATGGAACATACCTAAGCGACTTTACTCAACACATTATATGTTGATATACATATATGTCGACATATTAACCCGAGACACTTTCATTGAAATTTTTCCAATTATGTAGAGCGTGAAACTATTGACGAAACATGCAAAATAACCAACAATCTCTAGAATTAGTTACGCCGTTGCTTAGTCTACTTGCTTCACAAAGACGTGTGTTTCTTCATACATTAACTGACTTTCCGTTTAAAAATGATAGAGGTCGTTCTCGTGTAGCATATAAAATTGTTGATTGAATTCAGAAAGACATAAAAATTAACATTAATTCCAATTAAATATACCTTAATTTAGTAAAAATACTAGTCTCACGGTAAAAACTGATAACCGCCAGCATGTTGTCGGTGTGACATTAATTCCTTCCGGCGATAATGTTGCCAGCTAACATAATTCGAAGTCGACAAATATTGATTACTAAAAACAATGCTAATTTATATTTCCCGCGTAACTTGTTGCATTTCGAATGACGGAACCCGTTTCATTTCCAATGTTTATTTTAATCCGAATGTATAATTAAGCTCTCGTTTGGGAAAATTAAGTAACGTCGTAATATTATTGTAGGCTATGTGGGTCGGTTAAGCTTTGTGGGAAAGTGACTTGCTGAAACGTTTATAAGCCCATTGACAGTTATAGAAATACTTTGTTGAGCCTCCGAATTTTCTACAAAGTAATGATTAGAATTACGCATCGATATTTTTTGTTTCGACAAATAGATTCAGACGATTTATTAAGATAAGCGACGCAAGATCTAACTCAGTACGGATCTTCGATAAAAAGTATAGTTCACGGCCAGGTTGGTTTGTGTAAACGAGTGGCTTATACGGCCTGGCAGGCATCGCGCATGCGCGGAAGTTAACTCTGACATTTTCGCGAGATAGCCCTCTCTTTCGCACATAGCGCGAACGCAGGTGTTGCCATAATACAAAATATGCAAGCAATTGAACATTTTTTCGCGGTAAACTTAACGGTCCACACGCATTCTGAATGGATTCGTGTGAAAAATAATGCGACTTTTATATTTATAGACACATACTGCTATAGTATCGAAACTTTGTCCCTTTTGAAATGTCCCATTTCATTTACATACTCGTAAACTCGTCGTAACATTAATTTCGTCTATTTCTCTCAAGAGTAAACTTTTTGAACACGTTTAACGAGTAAGTGCGACTCATAATCCGGTCTTGTCATATCCGGAGCTAACGGGCCCGACTAAACAATATAAAGCCGTGTAAAACAAAAATTTTAAACCCCGCCTGGCGATGCTGCATACAAATGAGTGGATCTTAATGTATGATAAATAGTCTCTATACTCCAGCTTCACTCGTAATTCTGCTGTCAGTAAAATTAATAATCTTCTGACCTATTATCGGCGGGGTCAGATCTTCCTAAAGCAATTTATACGGGGATCGAGGTATAAGCGTTGTAACGGTGGCGTGTAACTTCTTCCAGGGTAACCTGAGCGGGACCGTTACCATGACGACGTTATGGCATCATGTTTCATAATATTGTGATGTCTGTGGCCGGCCATGACACGCCTCTCGATATTTGAAATTTCAAAGTCATCTTCTTAATTGCGTCTTGCAAATTTAAAATAAAACATTTAGGTTCTATAGATTATAGAAGTTTCGAATTAAATAAGAGAAAGTTTTAATAGAATTTGGGAAAATCTAAGGCCACAGATGTTGTTAACGCGTCGATGTCACATACCGACAGCGTTCGCATATGTGTTACCATATGGGATGTTTAAATTTAATATTTGTATCAAATAATTCTATATGGAGCCCTCGGATCCATCAGCTTAACCTGTCACCGAAATACGATAACCAGGGATTACTTCGCGTCGCTTTCGCTCAATTGATCACATGTCATGACAATAGAAGTATGTGAAATTAAACAGGAAGTTTCAATTTAGTGCCAATTCATATGGAACGATACCGGACGCACTTCTACCGCCAAAAAAAGATCGATAGTCTATGGTATCTCCGAAAAAACTATGCTCTCTCTACCTGACCAAATGTCACGTTCTCCAGATGGTCAGAGCTTGTGCAAGCGGCGGTGTTTGCTCAAACATTACGAGACGGTACATTTGAAGCGGGCCGCTAAATAAAATACAAACATCAATACTCGGACCTCGAGTGACACGACCATGTTAAGTATAGACAATTCGAAATAACTGTATTATAATAATTAAGATCTCCGCCATCCTTGGATTCGACTTAAGCGTGATCTCGTAAATAACGGGTAATTACTGAATCGAATCACGATCCCGAGCGGCCTTAATGCTTAATCGATGATGAGAATATTCTCTCAATGAAGGCTAAACAAAAACATACCATACTCTACGAGAGATAGTTAATTAAAGATGCGCTCTCTGCCCACGCGGACACCCGATAAACCATACACTAGTCTTATCATTGTATCTGTCAAATTTGAATATCGAATCTTGCCTTTAGATGTAACTAAGGATTATTGGAATTCGAACATCGAACGTTTGATTTATGAACACAGGGTTGCTACTTAATGTTCCTTTAATGATGTATCGATTTTGACAAAAGCCTGAATACGGCCGTGATATTTGAGGCATTCATGTCTAAAAGCTATTTGCGCAGACAAAATATTTACTTACGCTGTATACATTACTCATTTTATGAAATAAAGCTTAAATTCACTCACCGGCCACGTAAAGTCGAAGGGGAACACGATGGGATTGCTGAATCCTTGCACGTTGAGGTTCGGTACATCCAAAGAGTTTCCGCCCAGCACGGGCGTTGTGATGTCACCGAACGTGCACGGTGATGTCGTGTCGATATTAGCTTGATAAATCTTTAGGCACACGCGAAATTTAGTCCTGCACGGCGCCAAACACGGCGCGTCACTATTTGAGGAACCATCACAGCACTGCCCACTACTTAACCTACCCAATGAGTTCGTAAAACTTTGTATCCTAAGCTCGAAAGAACCAGATGACAGCACCTGAAATAAGAGAAAATTAAATTAATATACCGTCACACCGCGTCTGTTCCACAGAATAGCATTAATAAATGGCAAACATAAAACTTTCAACAACATGCAATCCTAAACACAAATTATTTGCACAACTGTCCAAGTGATCGATCCCGTTGAAACATTAACGGTTTTACTGGACACAAACTAAATGGGGTCGCTAATGCCTAATGCTCACGTGGGGTGACAACCCTAGCAAGAATCGAATTTCAAAAGCACAAAATTGTCAAATTCCATTCGAAGCAGATTAAAAATATACTTTTGTTTCACTTACAATTAACTACGATGATAGACAAAACAAGAGCGTAAATAACGAACCTCCAGCGTAGTTTTAAGCGAGATTTTTTGTCTGTGTTCGATTGATGACAGATAGACCAGCGTTAGTTTTTGTGTTGAATAATAATAGCACTGGCCTCTAGGGTAGCAACCCCTTTGAAAGAATGCACAGTTGTCTATGCATGTGGGATTAACTAGTATGAGCAACTTATGCATTACAGCATTACGAATAGGGAATACGAGTAAGTACATTGCCACCTTGCATTTACACTGTAAGTTATCTCATGTTTTTATACTTTACGGTGTAGTAAAAAAAGAAAACGTTTGAATTAAGACTGCGTTTCAAAAACACTAAAGGTTAGACAGTGTTTGATTATTTAAAATAGTGTCTTTTTTCATAATTCCAAAGAGGTTTTAAGGTAATATAAATCGTCCTCGTAATTATAAGGTATCGGAAGGAAGTGGCCGGTGTTACGGCTGTCTTCGCGAATCATTACAGGGGAAGTCAGTGCCTTGCGAGTGGAAAAAAGTTTCCTGTCTTTCGTTCTATAGCTTACGATAAATCAAAGTGTAATAAGACATAATTTTTTACTCAATTGCGGATAGCAATTAAAATGTAACGATGTTATAAAATTTTAAAGCTATTATATCGCTCGCCCGTTTGAAGGAAAACAATGGGTTTCCCACGCTTTGAAAACTTAATTATTGAACTTGATACTTCGTAACTTAATTCTAGCGTTTTTCTCACAAAATATGACAATGTTTCATTCAGTAAACGTTATCTAGTTGGTAGTAGATGAAAAAAATAACCAGAGATTAAACAAAGGGTGAAAAAATACACCAGATTTCAAGCAACATCCTGCCAAGTTGATAGGGGTTGTTTTTAACACGCGAAAGACCGGCTGTCTCGCTTTTACATACGCAGGAGGAAAAGGAAAGAAACTTTCACATCCACGTGGTAAACGCCAGGTAGGAGCGGAACCCAAAAAAAGTAATCACAAAAAATTACTGGTACTCTAAACATCCCATTCTTTAACTTGTTTATTAGATAGTAGCTGTGGTTTACCGATTTTAAATTAATGGGGAGTTTTTTGAATAATCTAACTAAGACAAACATAGAGTGTGTGGTTTAAAAAAAATATATCTAGTGATTAATTTATTTAAATAACTAGAGATTTACATCAAAATACATTGGGGTAAGTACAGGAATGTTAAAGAAACGGCTGTCTTTATAAATGAATTTTTTCGCCGCCAGTTTATTCGAGTAATAGAAGGTAAATGTTAGATTAGATCAATAAAAAACAAAAGCATCTGTGCGGTCGCTGTGTGCCCGCGGCGCACCACAAATTGACAATTAAATTCTACTTACTACCGAATAAGTTGTATTTCATATCCTCGAGCGATTTCACGCGATGAACTTTTGATTGATGCGTCCGAACTAATATTTAGAGTTTTGTAAAACGGTCAAGTGTGTGTCGGACTTATATTAATTATTGTATAGTCTATAATAACGAAACTAAAGTCCGCAATGGAAAAAGCGCGCTCGAAATAAGCCAATGGGGTTCAAGGGTCATGTAAAATCGAATTCCATTTACAAATGTTTTCAATATTCAAATGCGGTAATCGATTGTATACGGCCAGCATTACCTTGAGTAATGAAACGATGTATTCAAGTATCTAATATTAAGTTTTAATGCATTCGTTGGTCGTGAACATCAATATTGTTTTTTTTGAAAGTGGCACCACGTAACATTAATTGCGCCGGCGCAGGCCATCAACACTGTCCAAATTGATTTCGAGTACTCAGCCGCGCAATAGAGCCTTCTAAATATATCACTTTACATTAATTTAAATGTTTTTAATTACGCCAACGCGATTATCGTTATATTAAAACATATTTTACACGAAATTACGTGTCAGTGCAATTAAGCGATGTAATAACACGTTAATTTTGTAACAGCGAAAACAAATAATTTATCTTCGCATTAATTAGAATACAGTTTTATGTTACGAGCATTAATTCGAGCATCATCGTATGTAAGTACAGAGTAAACGCTCCTCCAGTCGGCAGGTTGAAGTCTAAAAATAGCTCAAATAATGAAACGCAGGGGAATGTTTTTCATCTCGACCGTTACACACGCGAAATGTGTTAAAACAAACACCCAAACAATCTTTTAATAGCGCGACGAAGTGGCCGATGCAATATTTGCAACCGAATTCGTCTTTTACTTTTTACTCCTTATTCGGTGAACGCGGTTGGCGCGCTATTTCGGGCCGATTTCAAATTTAGAACAGCTGTTCATTATCCGAAATAGATAGTCCTTTTGAATTCTCCTAATTCACCGCGCTCTATAGTCTATGCGAGCAATAATTCTTAACGTCTTTAAAAGTTGCACGAAGCTATACAAAAGGTTTCTCCCATTACAATGAATGTCAGTGCGCAAATAAAGGGAACTCGTCTCAACAAAACGTCCTTAAAATCGACATACGCGCGACAAAAGTCACTTCTTTGTTCGCCCGGTAATTCTTGGCAGCTGCAACGCAAAAGAAACACAGCGATCTAACAGAATTGGAAATTAACGGAGAATCATGAATGCAATAGGCTTCTAGATTGCTCTACGTATATGGAGATATTATTTTGCGGTTGTTTAAGCGTTGCACAAGGGAATTGAGATTTCGTGCGTTGGTGTTTCGAGTGCAGCACTCAGTAATGGTGGCATAATCGTAAACATTATTAAAAACATTTAAATATGCAAACTATAGATATATTCAGTATCTACATAAAACAAATCAAGTTAAAATTGACAATTAGGGTGAAATTTGCGTGCTCAGACGACGTGTGCGAGACACTTAAAAATATCTCGAGACTTATCGTGCAGTGCATTTCTACATGCAGATTGTTTTATAATTACTTCATTATGCTCTAATGAAAGCGTCATTTTTATATGCGAATTATTAATTAAACACGTCCGCTTATAAACAGCTGTTACGAATAGATCTGTCCCTGTTACTTGTCAGTCACTAATTTCGACCTTAACTTGCAACCCACTCTTGAAACTCATCTGTACAATGCCTGAAGCTTTGCGCAATTCGTGTTGCCAGCGTTTGACACATTTACCCATTTCGGATTTAAATAATTCACACTCGCAACACTAAACAATGAGACCTTAGAAGCTACTAATTTAATATGCAATACTTTGTGTAATTTATAACACACCTAAATAGCTCAATGTGGGTCATAAAATGTAAGTTCTAAGGAGATCTTAAATTATATTTCTAGTAAGTTCCACGAAAACAATTTTAAATTCAAATAAAATTGTATGCTTAGCAGAAACTATTCTTGTTTTATTCACATTATGAAGAAGTTACTTTCATTAAATTAAACACTTACACTATCGTAGTAAAAATTATAATACAAATCGCATTTTAAACCGCTTAAACGTTCATTTAGTTTCTTATTTTACTTTTTTACGCTTTTTAACGACATCGAAATACTTATATTAATTTAGGAAATTTACTCAATAACAATCGTGCAAACAACATCCTTAATTCTAATATGAATAATGAACATCGGAAATCGCAGTTAAATAATATTCATTTAGCTAATTACCTCAACCCCCGATTCGCGGTAAGATGGCAGCTATGCGTTTGTTTATAAATAATGCATAATAGCGACTTCCCTGTATCCAGTTTGGCGACATTGTGTAATCTGATCAATGATCCTGATTCCTGGCGGCCATCTTGCTTTTTTACACGTCGGGAATCAATTATACGTCCGGCCGGGGACGCGACAAAAAAGGGAATTAAATAAATTATTTTAAAGAGGTCGTAATGAAAGAAATTGTGCTCCGGCGCAGCACAATGGACCGTGACTGCGGAGTAATGGATTCATCATTTGTCAGCAATTGTTAGGGAACGTAGATAGAATTCTTGTTTAGCTTTTAATTATTTTAAGGTACCAGTGAACATTTGTTACTCAAAATTGTCGTTTAAATTTTGACAATCTTTAAAATCAAGTTTTTAATGAGTACGTTAGCTTACAATCGAGCCATTACGTGCTCATCAGACAATGAGACGAAATACAGCTTTCACATAGTTAAGACGTTAAAAACCGGCGATTATACGTATTTCGTACAAGGAGCCACGGTAATTGAGTCGGTTCTCATAGAACAAAACAGCTTCGGACAATAGGCCGAATTATAACAGGGTTAAAACGATTCACATACTTAAACGCTTATTGCGACTTACATGACATGTATGATTAATTGTTATTGTCTCCTTGTGAAAACCACCAATTTCGAAATTCGAAATCTTGACAATCTTGACAGTTGACAGTTTGATTCGGCGACACAAAACATGGGAATTGCCACAGAGCTCACTAATGTACAGAGTAAACAGTGTCACGAACGCGCGGGACGTGTAACGGTGAAGCATTAACTTAAAGGTGGCAATTAACGTTACTTATAGCGATTAAGACCCCCGAAATGAACTTTAATCAACCCGGTCGTAATTTGAATTCGTCGCGAGCTTATAAAAAAAGCAGATGTTAGGCTTTTCAAGTGTAGCCAATAACGCGCGGTGCACCTGCATGCAATGTGGGCCGCGCAAACGAGTATTGAAATAAAATCGATCAATTATATCACTCGTTCTACACGCCGACTATGTCCTACATATTCGGCGAGTTAAACAATCTCGTTATTAATACAGTAATGTCGCTAGGCCATAAAAATAATATAATTCTGTCTCGAGTAGAATAAGTAACATTGATATCTATCTTTGCTAATTATAGACTTCGGTTTAAGAAAAATCGGTAATGATGACGTTTATGCCTATTATTAAATAAAACTTATAAGTAATTGTTAGCTGCTAGTTGTTCTAAATGAATTGAACTCTCTAGCTACACATAATTATTGCACTTATGCTAAACGGTATAAGAGGTAATTTCACGTGCAGCGAAATGATTTGACCTCAGGTGAATATTATAAAGTGGAAATTGCTATTATTCGGTTGCGGTTTTGGGCAGACGTTTCCGATGCGGCTTCCGATTGTATCGATCACGCGATTATTGCACGATATTTTTAAGAATCGATTTAAAAATTAATGCCCGCTAGCTATCGTGATCGGGTTTGAACGATTATTATATTGTGACATCCGCAGGGTAAGAGAAACCCGTTGCAACCGTTTTTTGTACCTCGTCTTCATTCATAATTTATTGTGGCTCGCTCTTTGATGTATTTAGTTGAATTACGTGTTTCGCTTACTAAATATTGTTGTACATTAGATGAATTAGAAGCTGGTGTAGGTATGATCTGATTGGCGGTATTAAGGTAATGTAGGTAGCCAAGTGCGCTTTGAAACGCTAATATGTCGAGGTTTATTTAGAAGCTACATATATCGTATATTTTATGATATATTGTATATAACACCGAATTGCTACAAAGAGAAGTTTATTATGTTAAGTTTACTACTTTATACATAAGCGAATACCTACTGTCTAAGCAACAGATGTAAAAAATACTTAAATCAACTGGAGATACCTTTAATTATACATTATTGCGATATGCTTGTGTTAGTAATAACGGTACAAGTTCGCATTTCGCGTTTAATAAATAGGCAGACTTATGCGCAAACGCAACTAAGGGTCGTTTTGAACTACCAGCTACTCCATTATTATGGGCTTGAAAATAGGGGAGAGCTTATCGATTTTTTTCACCGTTGACATTTAGTGCGCTTAAATAATTGTGTAATGTTTTATGACGTTGAGTTTAACTTTGATAATGTTAATCTACTATGTAAACTACCACTGATAAATATACAAAGATCTAAATGGTGTATGGAGTACTGACTCTGTCCTAAATGGTATACATGTTATATATATTTGTGAGTGTCTCTTATTTTGCTTTTTCCCTACCTCCACATAATTACGAGTTGTCAGATCTATTTCCAAAAGATGTGATCTCATGATGAAGGAAGTTGAAGATAAGCAAATAGATCGGTACACAATCAAGTCTATTAAACTGCTGTTGTATATCAATGTAAATTGAAAATATGCACGTATGTGTCTAGTTATTTCATAACTAATAAGTACAGTATTAATTAACCCCGATATACTTTCGATTAGCTAATAACGTTATGCACTCGCGATAATACTAGTTACTATTGCCAAGTAAAATAAATAATTTCAGTGTGAAAATATTCTCAGACGAAAACAACCCTCCGTTCCAACCTTGACCGTTTTAGGACAATGACCTCAAAACAAAATACAGACTATATTCCTCTCACCTATTTCTTCTCTTAACCTACATTCGATTCGAAATTATAGTTTTCTAGGCCGGCTATAATCGTTCACAGTTAATAAATAACACATCGATACCTACAAGTTACAGACTACCACAGACATGCCACGATTTTAAAATGCGAGTTATTACCAACTAGCGACTGTTTCTTTTTCCAAGTCTTGGTATGCATCTAATTTTAAACGAAGAAGCTCGTGACCCCGCGCTGGCCGTATTAAAACCTGAACTTTCTTTAACTATGCACCCAGCTATGTTTGCTCGGCAAACGTATCGGACACACTCACACCGGAGTGCGGACTCGCTTAGGTCCAGTCACGACTCGGCTAACCTACACCCTCGCCTATCCAGGACGATCTAGGTGCCTCGGACGCCACTATCGTGGGAAAGTGAGTGTCGCGTCGACCTCCACTTCTAAGCTCTAATAGCATCCTAACCGACTAGTGCATTCGCTTCGCTAAAGGGATTTCGCGGTTTGCGATATCGATGTCCATGTACCTGGGGCAGAAACCCTAGCAGGGCTAGGAGCACCGTGGGGGCGCGCATAGTGGCGCGTCCTCTACCGGCGCCTGAGCATACACGGGATCCTGGGCCCGTCAGTATACGACGGCAGAGTAATCCATTACTGGCACATGTCTGCACTGAGTTTCACTAAGTCACACAGCACTAGTGGTGTCACTGGTACGAGCTCGCGTTGTATCGTGCACTACGTTCGAAATACGCGCGTGTGGCCGACGCTGATCAGCCGCAATAACGTCTAGTCGCGACGGTGCGTGACGGAGGACTGAAGGGCGGGTGGCGGCCGCGGTGCGGGCAGAGCACACCTGGCGCTAGCGGCAGCGCCGCGACGCTAGATGGCGCTGCGCGGCGCATCTGCCGTTTATTTGCTCCCCGCGCCCCGCGCCCAGCGCGAGCCCTCAACCAGAAAATACACGGAAAAAGTCGCCTTTTGCAGATCTCCACAGACCACGTGCTCACGATAAAAACTTCGGGATCGCTATGCGGCTTCGGGCTTCGTATAAGTTACATTACATTATATTAATAGCTGACTACATCATAAGTAAGTTGGTTTTAAACATGCGTGTTCTATGTTTCTGGAGTGATACATAACGGATATTTCAAATCGTCTTAAAATTACGTACGGTACGTTCGTAACTTTATTTACAAAGAAGCGTACACATACTCCACACATACCTAAAATAAGACATACTTTATTACACATTATTAGCGTAGTAGTAGTAGTAGCGTAAAATAGTAATATGGAATATATTTTATCTCGTCTTGAATAAATAAGCTATATGTCTACCTCCTATTATAAAAACTCTATTAAGTATTGACATAGGTATTATAGATCTTTATTACTGTGAGTAGCTAGCAATACATTGAATACATAATTTTATAGTAATGGATAATAATAATCATTGCTGACTTATAATAGGCTGTCATATACATTAGAGAAAATGTTAGGTATAGGCATTTATATTCTGTTAACATAACCTTTACTGTTCTAAATTTAAATAATTTCTTTTCAAGTGACAGCAAAAAGGTTTGTTGTTTTGTAAAACAGACGTCGTTTGAACAGATAATAAACTTTTGGCGTAATCGCGCCAACATGCGTATGGTAATTTTTTAAATCAGCAGCAGGTGGGCCACTGCTTGATGGAGTGATAAATGTATAAGGGTAAGATTGCAATTTTAATGATAATAATACTAGTGACAGTTGAGGATAATAATTATTTAAGGCGAACATTGTAAATGTTTGTACCTACATTAAATGGCGACACGATTTCTATTTATTTTTTATAATGAGTTCTGAGTGACGTTTCAAAGAATATATCATTCCTTAAGGTGGAACTGATTGAGTAGCTGAGTGTTAGGAGATCGAGTGATATAAGTAATTTAGCTAGTATATTTTTACACACTAGTTATATTCATTCAAGACAACGTCAAGCTACCTTTTATTTCGTACGGAGGTTCTATTCCATGACAGTTATTCCCCAAAAGTGGGACCTAGCTCTTTTATATTTAAAAATCGGGACGTCTGGCAACGCTGCCCATACAGTAGAACACTTCCCACATAACAGCGATATAAGTTTGCAGTCTCAATGGCAAGTTAATCTAATTCATCGCCAACCGGTCTAGTTTTATTGGTCGTCAAAACCACGCCTCCTTTATGACGTCTCCGTGGCGAGTCATACTTTTAATGACGCTGCCTTATAGACTAGGTACTGGCATAATAGTGCCGACAACCTATATTACATGAGAGAACAAAAAGACTAGAAAAAAAACCAATTTATACTTGATCAATTTCTTGGTGCAGGCGAGCGGTTTTGGATTTGAATTAGACAGACACCTAAATAGAGCAGCAAAGAAGACTGATAATCCACTTGCTTAATATTTAAGTTAAATACTTTTAATGGTTTGAAACGTGATTAGTTAAATTATTTTTTACAGTAACCCGACAATCCTTGATATTGATATTACCCTGAATTAACTAATCATTAAATAAAGAGTTTTATGGAGTGTGTACATATATGAAGCGTGTAAGTATTATAGCAAAATTACTTAAATTACCTACTCTATTTAACTTGAAATATGTTCCTATATGTAAAGATAATTATTGTAAAAAATAATAAAAGAATCTAAGTACTTTTTTTTATTAAGGATAAAAAGAGTTTAAATTAAAACGTGGAATTTAAAAAGTCCCGTTACAAATTTATTATTATGACTACTTTAATCGCATCTGGTTACTGTAATACGTTCGCAATTAAATAATTCGTCCAGTACATTGGCTCGCTATTTACCGCTAAATAGATGTTATTTATGACCAGTTGACTCACCAAAGATCAATTAAAACTGGTAAAATGTCATAACATAAAAACTAGTCCTAATGCCTAGATCGTTCATTCACCTTATTTTTTGGATGTAATCAAATATTTTATATATAATGCTTACCTACTAAGTATATAATCTTCTGCACTTACCATTTTCGTTAAAACTAAAACCAGTAGATAGTTATTTTTTTTACAAATCAAACTCCACTCCTTTATATTTTTACTAATATTATACTATAGATTTCAATAATACTACAGATTCTATTCCAAGCTGCAGAACATATTTCTCTACGCCATATTTTGTTTTATAAACTATATATATTGCCCGCGCTTTTTTGACATGAATCAATCAAATATGTTTTCAAAACAATTCGTATTATTATTAAAATACTAATGAATTTATTTAGATAATTGCGTTCTATATATTATTAGAATATACATAATATGTCATACAAACGTCTCGCCGTAAAAATGGTCATACTAAACTAATTACTAATTCTGCAATGCTCTATTTCTTTTGCCTTGCAAGCAGTGGAAACTTCTATAATCGTATTCAAATAAAAATGAACAATTTCGTGAACAATTATAACGATTAGTGATTGTAACAAAGGCAGGCCGGCCACGCCCTTATTAAAAATGTCCCTGACATAGTATTCAACAAGAAAAATATAATTATATAATTAAACAATTAAACTAAAATATATATTTTTAGGTTAAGTAGGTTCTAGGTGTGTATCTAATTAATAAATAAGTTTCAAAATATTATTTATGAAAATGCTTTGTGCGGTTTGATGTCATATCGCTATTTGATTGAATTATTAACTGACATAATATATCAGTATGAGTCATACTTGTGCCGCTAAAACAATTATAAATTGTGAACAAATAGAAACTACATTTGTATAATTGATTTAAAATACTTTTTAATGTAATAATTATTTTATTTTATTACTTTTACTTTAATACGGCTAAAGTCGTGCAGCAAATAAACCAGAACAATCATTTCGATAAAATAAAATTTAATCTTTATCACATTAAATATAATTCAGATATTCTGTAAATGGTTTAATTTAAATCCGAGGGTCATAAGAAAAAATCCGAGGCTTTCAAGAGATAATTTTATGAATGAAAAATTATTATTTACTTTAAATTAACACCCACGTTAAGTCCAAAAAGAATGACAAAATGTATGTTCCCACGCATTTTGACCTTCTACGCTTAAGCCCGATCACATTTACTTAAAGAAAATTCGCGTCCGCTTTTGACTTCAGCAGGCCAGGTTGAAAAAATTTATTGAGTAACTTTTAACAGTTTCAAACACGAATAGTAACAGTCAACCTTCGGGTTTAGTCATATGGCCTTCGGGTCGTAATTTCGATGCATTTTGCGTTTTAAACCGTTAAGGATTGTTTATTTCAATATTTCAAGATTGTTATATCATTTGAGGCCGCTAGAGACAGAGTAGCCTGACTTCAATTTCATGATTTGAGTTTATATTTTCATAGTAAAATCATGACAATCTACAAGAACACAGTGACCGAAAATTGTTAACATAATTCTTGAAGGCTAATTGCGTATTTTTATTATCCCCTATATTAAAAATCATGTTTTTTGTTATTAGGCCACTCTGCTTCTAGCAGACTCATAATGTACTCCTCAAAGTACTTAAACAATCAAGTACCCGATTCAAACGTTTACTTGATTTCAAATACGAATATCGTTTTGCAACTGCATTCCGAAGGCGTCTGGCGAAGACTCGTAATTACGTACTTCCTATTTTATTTACCAATTAACTATATTATGATCCTAGATAGCCGAAGACGCTTATTTGTATGCCTGGCTTGTATTTATGAAGGAATATCATTTAATAGTTGCCTCATGAGATTATTTTAGCATTAATTTAAATAAAGTTAAAATTACACTATATAAATCAGTATTATTTAATGTGAAAAATCCTTTTTTTTATTGGTACATGCAAGTGATTTTGTGTCCTGCCATTCAACCATTGAGGCATGGATGCTTTATTCACTTGAGGGATAAGGATGTATCAAAACTACGAGTATAAGAAATTCATATAGGTATTTAAATATACCAAAGTTAATACATATTTACATAAGTTACTGCAAGGCGAAAAAAAGGATGCATTGTTTAAATAAAACACTTTAACGGTATAAAACGCGATATATTTGCAAGAGCCGTGGTCACGGGAAGATAAATACAAAGCATCCGAAGTGTCAGGCCGAAGTTAAAAATCATTTTCAAATAAGTTTAACTAATATTTCGCGTTTTAAACCGTTAAAGTGTTTTATTTAAATGTATACTACTCGCATAAACTATAGACAGGATACATTGTAATATTTACTTGGACCTCATATAGTGGAATTATTAATAGTAACGAATTCAAATTAAGAACGGTGGAACGAAAACGATACGTCGGGCCGCACTTAAAATAAATTGTAAATAAGTTAACTAATATATTTGGCGTTTAAAACTGTTAAAATTGTCTTTAAGGGTTTCTATAGTACGGGATAGTGACGTAAAATACAGACAATGTTTATCGGTAACAGACAAACTTAATCTTAAGCGTGTAATAGAGTCGATATTGATTTTTGGTTATTACGGATTTTTTGTGGAATGGAAGCCATTGCATTTGCTTAAATAGACAAATTCCTAATATTAGCTGGTAATTGCACATGACACATTTGACGGTTAGAAAGCTCGACCCAGGGTCAATTCGGAAAACTAGCAGCGCGCTTTCGTCCCACTATTTATAGATGCAGTCTATAGAATGTTTCATCAGTGGTTACACTGTATCTAAACTGTGTTGAAATCGATCAAATGGTGCTATAAAGTGTAGTGTAAAATGTAGCCTATATTATTGTGACGTATTAGCATATAACAATAAACTACCATCAGTAGTTTCGTAAATCTAATTTATTAACTGACTTATCCCTAGTATCTAACCTAGGACCTTTACAATGGAGCCACAAAGGCGATAAGCCGTGTGAACTAATTTTAGACTATGTTTGACCTTAAAGC